TGGTTCTCGCCATGGGGCAATTGACGAAACCGGTATACACCAGTTTCAACCGGTATACACCAGTTTCGTCTGCTTCATTCTCTCCATTCTCGGTTTTCCTCCAATGTCATAAGATTATTTGAAGCATAATATCCATCATTCGTACCAAGTCGCTCAGGAGTTTTTCCTATATCGAGAAAGGGAATCCATTCCATGGGAAAGAGGCGGGGAGTATGCGGGTATAGAAAAGTTCAAGGCGGATGCGACTGAAGTGAGAAGATATTACAGAAAGAGTTGACACGGGTCTTTCGCCCTTTTGAAACGGCCATTAAAACATGCGCCCCGGACTTCCTCGTCCTTTGTTGCTGTACCCCCAAATGAAAGGAGGGAAGCTCGTTTGTCACGATCATGGTAAATCACGTGATTTTCATGGGCACCACAAGGGCATCGAAGGATCGGCATCTCCGAATGCTGAGCCTGGCAGCGCCACAATCACAAACGATGTACTCGTGCAAGCGCGATAAAATGGACAAGAGCGAGAAAAAAAAAAGAAGACCATTGCGACATTTTTAAAGCCCGCCGCACACGAGGCAATTTTGTTGCTCGACCGTCGCAGATGAGCCCCAGGGGGCACACGGAGAAATCTGCAAGCAATGTGATTGGTCGATGCTAGGAGCAATAGTCGAGCGAAGGCAATATTTATCGCAGGAAAATTGAGCAGGGAGCAATATCCTGCAATGGTCGTGCGATGGTCGCGCGACCATCGCAGCACCTCCGCACACGGAGCAATATCGTGTGGAGCGACGGTCGCACGACAAAAATTGCTTTGTGTGCGGCGGGCTCAAGAGACAAAATCGATGAGAGAAAGGTTATATTCTCCGTCAGCCAGGGAGAGCGTGATCGCCCTTCGAGCCCCACCCCTTTGCTGGGATGTAGCCCAACCTCATCTATTCTTCTAACCTGGCTTGGGACCGACCTCTTCATGCCATGCTGCGCGTCTCGAGGACGCGGAAGAAAGACGTCGGCATGCGAGGATGGGAAAAACACGTCTGGTTCATGCCAAGGTTACGCACGTCGTTCGGTCCAAGAAACTGCATCGTGTACCCATTCGCGAAGACGCCATCTTCTAGGCTTACCTGCTTCCGTTTTCTTTTCGGACAGGCCCATTCGTCGAGGATTCTTCCGCTAGGCCGAAGGCTGAAAGACGAAGAACCGAGAAATGGTTACGTGATCTGTCAGGCGGTCTCACTTTCCCCCCGATGCACCTTGATGAGAAAGGTTCGGTGCGAGGTCTTTCATCCGGAAACATTTCGCTTCCGACCAAGACACAAAAGCCACTGTGCTCTCTCGCACAAAATCAAACTATCCATAAAAACTGGTATTTTTGGCACAGGGGAAACGTTTTGGGACCAAGCCCCGAGTCGCTAATCATTTGCAGATGTTCCAGACTTCAGTGATCGATGTTGGATTTTTCTCCGCTCCAGTTGATCGCCGAAAAAAAGAATCGTGACGCTTCGGACGCGTTCACTTCGAACCTTCTCTCATTGCGTTTTTGTCTTGCAGATCACCCCAGAACTCCGATTGTTCTCTCCAATTGCAAAACAGAAGAACCCATCCTCCCCAGATCGCCAACGTTACAAAGAAGTTGGTTAATTTCTTTTTGGTGCACTCGTATTTAAAGAATCTCCGAGGCAACATTTCCAGGAACTTAAAAGAGAGTTGAGCCCTGAGCCGCGAAAATGGGTGGGGGACGTTTCGCTGAAAATCCTTTCGCAAACGAGACCTGTTCTGCGAAACGGTACCATTTCTAGGAAAAGTCATTCGGCGAACAAAAGCAAGTATCTCCGGTCCCTGCTTTGAGAATGAATGCCTGACAATACGAAGCTCTTTTATTTGTAACTATTGACAAAGTAGCATTTACAGTGTTTTTCACTTGACTCAGACACGTGCAAGGAACGTTCCTCATGCATGAGTGTCGAGGTCATGCGAAAAAGTCTCTGACTCAAGTGAAAAACACTGTAAAAGTATAGTGACGTGAATTCCCCGACTGATCCAGGTTCGAATTGTTGGCGATTCCTCGGAAATCCTGAAATGAGTCACCTGGAAATCCTGACTGTCAGAATCCGTCTGTCTCGTTCTTCTTTGGGTTTGCGTTGTGGAGCTGCTGAAGCGAAGCTGCTCAAGTTTCACATTGGAATGTAGGCCTAAGTTAGTCTGACTTAAGGTGTTCGCATATAACCTTGCTTACCGTTTCAGCAATGGCAGCAGCCAATTTGGCTCTTAGCGGCTTCCTCCGGTTAACTGCCGATGATTCTTCTCGCGATTTCCCCTTTGTTGGGAGCACGATCATGAAACTTTGATGGGCGTTTCACGAAGTCTAATCCATCCTTGGTAGCGGTCACAGAGCAACTCTAATGAATGCAACGCCAAGATGCCCTTCCATTCTTGTCTCTCTCGTTAGCATTGAATATAGGGTAAGCACCCCGGTTTCTGGCCGGTCTCCAGTTGTTGGCCAGTGAGGCTTAAATCCAGCATAATTAATCTGGCCGTTTTCAAGCATTCTATCAACATCTTCCTGTACGAGGACCAATTATTAGTGTTTCCCGGTGTGCGTACAGGGTTTCCACTTCCCATGGGAGTCGTACCAGCGTGGTCAAAAACTGGGGTGTTTACCCTATAGCCTTCCACCTTTAATTGATACAGATCACATTTTCAAGTCTCTAATTCCATTTTCAAAATCACAAGTGGCACCGTCGCTGCGCACGCATATGAAAATGATGTCTTATCAGCTGTCAAGGCTTGAAAGGCCATCTCGGCCGGTGCGAACAGGTCCTGTCTAGCCGAAGACTTTCTACGAAACGACACTCCTGGCTAAAATCGGTTATTCGGGGCGAAGCGACTTGTCTGTGAAACAGACTTTCGGTGATTCGGTTTTCTAAGAAACGTCCCGGTCCCCCGAAAATTGATGCTAGGGGACAGGGGTAATGGGGGGGGGGGGAAAGGGGAGGAAAGGGAGATCTACCTCTTAGACGAGACTCAACGCAAGTTTCGATCAAAACGAGGAAGGAAAACCCGTGGAACTCCTGACCACGTCATGAGTGGGACGACGGAGGAATCCCTTTCGTATTAACGAAAGGAGTTCTGCTTACTCCCTCTCATCTCCGAGGACAACGAGACCGTGCTTATTGTGGGAGGAACTTCTGAAACCACGAGAAAGGCTTCTTTTTTATTTTTAAAGCACAGTATCTGAACGAACGTCGAGGAGGTTCCACGTAAAAGGTGAGAGGTGAAAGACGAAAACGAGAGGTCTCTCGGTCAGTTATCCGTGCAGTTTAGGGCCAGCCACATGTCCTCACGTGCGTCATGCCACTCCCTATTCTTCGTGGGATGTTCTCAGGCTCCAAGTTTTGGAATGCATCCACCTTTAAACCGGTTTCCGTGCATTTACATATTTGCACTTCTTTCATGCCCATATATCATATCATATGCAACTCCGGGCTCTATAGTGACGTTTTCAACATTTCCTTTCGGTGCCACAAGAACCTCAGTATGCATCTCTCGAGTTCATGGATACGGGGATTTTAAATACCGGGTGGCACATAAGAAACGTGCCGAGATTTTTTCATTATTTCTCAACTTCCAGATGAGGCAGAGGCGTACTAATCATACAACGGGTACTCTCCTCTCGGCCTCAAGAAAAATATAAACGTCCAGCTACCAGAGTACACCCACAGCGCCCGTTTGACTGAGACACATAATTTTTTTTTAAACACGCAGTTCTGAAGAGAAGGCTACTGCACAAACGAGGTATGACGTCGAGTGCTCGGCGCGTTTTTTTTTGGCGTCATCCGGTAGTAGCAACGCGGTGAAGCCGAGGTGCGACGGTGTTCCTTCGAGCTTGTCTGCGCTTCACTGGGGGACGCCATCGGGAATACAAATTCAGGGAGAACCAGTGATTCGCGCAGAACGTGATTAGCAATTTACGATTCGCATAAAAACTGATTTGCGAATGAGAGCAACATATGCCGTTCGCGCTTCAATTACCCCATCAGGGAATTTCGGCCCCCTCCCCTCCTCCCGTCCTATGGAGTCGCAAACTTTCAGACTATTCCCGTCACGAAGATCATGCTCCTGACCTTTTAATTACCCAGCACGAATAATGTGCGGATTGCGTTTTCTTCCTAATGCGTCGAAACATCATCGACGATGCAGTATGGCACCGCGTACACGGAAGAGCGAATTTTCAAGTAATGACAGAGTTTACATTTACCCTTTCTAGTCACGCAACGCGGCTGCCATCATCTCTTGAAAGTCTTTCCGAATAAGATCTTGCAAATGGTACACAGTATGAAGATAGTACGAGTGCAGCGCTTGCTAGTACTGTCTTACTCGGTTTCTATTCCGAAACATCTGGATTTCCTTTACACTTTTCAGGAAATTGCGATTTATGATTATCTGACGATCCTTTTTGAGCAGAACAACCTGAAATAATATGCAGAAAGGGTTTCGAGATCGGGAAACGTGGGATGGGAGAATCTTTCTCTGTGCCATTGCCAGCCTCGTGAAAGAGGGCAGTGTCATTTCGTCGGGAAAAAATTCACATGGAGATTTATGAGCGGATGGGTGCCCGTTTCGTTCCGCAGACGAAACTGTGCCAGAAGCTTATGAGTGGAGGTGCGACCGGTAGCAAAAAGCAAGGCACAGGAGGCATCAAAGTAGGTCGAAGTGACCTGCTTTCCTACTTTCTCGAAAACCCTGACTACGCCGTCAATCATAAAAATAATAGAGCACGATGGACGAGTAAATGGGTTTTATGACGAAACCCTGCACAATAAAATAAAAGGACAGAAAGAATTTAAGAAGTAAAAGCAGTAAGATCATCAAACTGTACAAGTTGCGGAGTTCTCTTGTCGATGTCAAATAAGACGGCTTGACTGCAGCGTGAAAAACGGGGCAACGCGATCAAGCACACCTCTGCTCCGTTGGGGCCTGTTGCATTGAAGAAACGTAATAACACAGTTTCAAATATTATCTTCTGAGGCAAAGAAGATGGAAGGAAGTAACATCCACAAAACCTGAAATAGTCTTGGTCTGGTATCTTGATTGATTGCCGATAAAAAAGACATGGGGAACTTGGTCAAGCACAAATGGATCACCCTCATCAAATGGGTAGCATCCTGATGCAAATAACGAAAAATGTGAAAAATCGTCTCCAATATACGAGGAAAGGAAGATGACCATCTGGATGCCGTACCAAGAGTATCGGGGCAGGTGGGAGCGATGTGCCCCCAATCGAGCATGTTTTTCATGATGTCAACGGGATCGTCCATGGTCGAATTCCGCACGACATCTTCCACATTTTGACCTGATGTTCCCAGAATGACACAGTCCTCCACTACACATTCATAGGGATTGGTGACACTATGGAAAGTTGGGTATGCATTGGCCTGTGGGACAGGAACAGATGACTTCACTGACAGAAAAGACTCAAATATACAGAGTATACAATTTTTTTTTTTAAGAGATACCATTTGAAACACATGAGAGGCAAATGGAGGTCATTCCATAGCAAAACAACAAGGTTGGGAGGATATTTTTAATATATAATCCCTGACCTATAATATATTAGGTTGTTGCAAAAGTCCTGTCGGTGTTGAATGTAACATGTTCTAATAAGACTTCCAGGCTTTGACAATTCCTGGCGAGTGGGTGGTAGGTATGGGTATATAAGGACAGTCTGTTGTATCTCACTCATCCCATCATCTCTCATGGCCTCTGAGAAATTCACGCCAACGCAGATCCATCTCAGTCACTGCATTCTCTTCCACTTCCACTCTCGCGTCGGAGCTACGGAAGCTCATCGCCGAGTGTGCGCAGTTTATGGCGGAGACATCATAAGTCTTCGCACGGTAGAACGATGGTTTGCCAAATTCTCTTCTGGAGACTACGACGTTGAAGACAGACCGCGGTCCGGACGCCCGACGGAGTTGGATTCTGATGCCCTGAAAGCAGAGCTGGAGAGCAACAGCCAGCAGACCACACGCGGATCGGCAAGCAGTCTCTCCTGCCACTATTCCACCGTATCCCGTGGCCTGGACAAGCTCGGCTTAGTGAATATGCTCGGCCGTTATGTGCCCCACGACCTTACACAGGCGAACAAGGACAGGCGGGTCGACTGTGCCACCGAACTCTTGACGAAGCGCCGGACACATGCTTGGCTCGATCACCTCATTACTGGGGATGAGTCGTGGGTCCTCTACGATACTCCCAAGAGGAAACACCACTGGCTGCGCTCCGGTTCCAAGCCTCCAGTACAGCCAAAAGGCAGTCTGCACCCGAAGAAGCTGTTGCTGTGCATCTGGTGGAGCGAACGAGGAGTTGAGTACTGGGAGCTGCTTCCAGAGAACTCAACGGTCACTGCCCGCATTTACACCACTCAGCTGGCAAATCTCAAAGCGAAACTGGACTCCGATCCTTACTGGGCAGGCCACGTGTTTTTCCAACACGATAACGCGCGCCCACACGTCGCGAACGTCACCCGCAGCACGCTACAGGGGTACGGCTGGGAAGTGATCTGTCACCCACCGTACTCCCCGGACCTTGCCCCTTCTGACTATCATCTATTCCGATCGCTGAAAAATCACCTGGCTGGGAGGAGCTTCACCAATCGACAGGCCATGGAAACCGGCCTCGCAGACTTCTTCGCCTCGAAGCCCAAGTCCTTCTACAGAGAAGGCATCCATGACCTGCCCAGAAGATGGACGAAGGTCATCTGCAACTATGGTGAATATGTGGTCGATTAAGCTCTAAAGTTGAGAAAATAAAGTTGTCAATACCGACAGGACTTTTGCAACAACCTAATATATATTTAATAGAGGGTGATAGCATTGAGAAACACTAAAAAAAATTTTCCCTTGATCTCTTGCTCTCAAATGTGGAACGAAGAACATTTTATTGAAAATTTCAGTTCTTGGGTTTTATTTTCTGATGATGATTAGCTAGGGTTAATGAAAATGTAAGCACATCCCCAAGGTATGCAGACTTTTGACTTCGTGTAAAAAACAAATCCAAAGGGTGATTTGAATTAAATTTTGCAATTCAACATTGGTATAGCAGCCCTCCCCTACTCAATTCAATTTGGCTGCATGCAAAAGGGTCTCCATGAGATATGAGAGAACTTAGTGGAGAAGCATTTGTAAGTACTTGCTACATCCCTGGAAATAATGTCAGCAATGCATGCCAAAACTCTTTTTTGAATGTTCTGAACCCAACTTCCAGCCAACTATCTCTTCAACACTTTCTGAAAAAGGAACTTCAGGAGTTCAAACGGAAGAGGATGAAGTGTTACTACAGGTTGGATTGGAAGTTGGGATAGAATCACTCAGCACCTCTAAAACTATTATTAGTGATTCTCCAGTTGATGGATCTCAGAAAAGCTTTTTTTAAAGAGAGAAAAAAAAAGGAGGGATAAAACATGACACTGCAGAAAAATCTAAGACTGGTGATATGAATCAGGTATGAAGGAAAGTTCTTCAGGAGGCAATATAGATCACAAGAATTTAAAAAAATTCCTAGATTGAAAGGAAGTTGAACCAGTAGATGAAATCCAAATTAAACAAAACCTTATCAGTCTGAGCAATAAAGTCCAGAAAAGTGGATACTAGGCAGACATTTGAGGCACATGAGTGACCATAAAAAACTTCATGACGGTTATATCAACCGTCATGAAGTTTTTTCCAGGCAATGCCAAAGATGTCAGGAGAGGCATACATCACAACTCTTGCAAACAAATGTGTGAGAGTTGACAGAGGTGGATCAACCCCTTTCAAGAGTGGGAGTGTAACTTATAGAGTTCTGTCTTTTTGGTACAGAAACCTATTCCTCTATAAGCTTAATTTCACAATGTGAAATCTCCACACATGGAATATCTTATCTCATAAAAGTTGTCCATTTCATGAAGTTCTTAATGCTTCTGAACCCAGTTTTCTAAAAAAAATCTCTCATATTGGTTGATCAGAATGATCAAGATGAGTGAATTCTAAGCAGATACTCAGGCACATCTGCAGAACAATGCTAGACCAGCAGACATTTCAAACTCCCTAGATTTCAAATAAGTATTCACAGAGTCACAGTTCCCATGTGTAACAGCAAGAGCATTGGACTACATATACCAATCCATTTCGTGGGTGGGAATTCTATTTACTATGCTAATACATGAACATTGAACATTTAATTCCTAGTCCTTTACAATCACCTCAATCAATGTAAGGAACTACTAAGTTGGGATTTTTCTGCTAAGGGAGTTTCCTTTTTTTGCATAGGTTTCAACATTTTTGCACTGCTTTCTGTGCATCAGACACAATTCCTTGCAAGGACAATGGTCCACAATGTTACAACTTGCTTTTACCTGTTCAATAAAAACGTAAATTACTACTGACATACAAACAAAATGGCTGCAACCATTCAGTCAAAAAGTGGTCAAATGAAAATAACCAATTTCAAATTTTTTTTAGATAGATAGTGAAAAAATGCAAGATTTCAGTTTGCATGGAAGCCAGGTCTGGATCAGGGTTGGGATTACCCTCCCATAAAAAATGAAAAGTGCAACTGTGAACACTCCTTCCATGGAGCTTAAGCATGAGGAGAATAGAGCAGGAGTTATTAACCCTTTCATGGGCAGTGGGAAGCAATCTTCCCAGAAAAGTTTTAACCCTCTTGGTGCCCTGGGAAGGCTTTCTCCCACTGTATCATGCTCACATAATCTACTGGTGACCAAGATAACTCTGTAAAAATTTTACCTGATGCTCATGAGGTCTGTAGGGAAGCCATATTGGAACAGATATGTAAGCAAGTGACCTGTTCAGGTAACATATGCAGGAAGCAAAAGTATTTCATGATAATTAAGGGACAAAATTGGGTAAGAAATGCAAACTTTTTTTTTTATATTTCCTTTTACATCCCTGAGATTTTTGTAAGACAGGTCAGCTCTCAGTATTATACCTGTATATATACAGGGTGATTCAATACAGTGTTTCTTAGTGAGTTTTGCAAACCTTGAAGAATGCTGGGCACAAGCAGCAAAATACTCCACACCTCCCTCAAAAAGGATCATACGCATTGCATAATGTTTCATACCCCCTGCTCTCCTCCACTCCTCCAGTGTTGCTCAGAATGGCAAGACCACCTGGCAACTCTGATGGGAACCATGTCTGGGACCCTTTAAATAACAGCTACAATTACAAACCCTCCCAAGGAGGGCATTCCTCAGTTTCTCTCTTGACTGTCATGGCACCCAGGCTAAAGAGGAGTATTTCTGATGCATACAATATCATGATTTGGTATTTCATCAATAAGAATTCATAAGTGTGGAACTGCTTTTCCACTTCCTTACAGGTCTTTCCATGAAGTACTTCAGTTTAATCTACAAATCTGGGCACTCAATACCCATCCATTCCAAAGACTATTGACAAACCATGCATTCCTCTCTCCAAGAGTCATCAGATGGACATGTCATTCAGAGTGGCACTTGCTTGCTGGGCAGGAGAAGGGAGTATGAAACATTATGCAACATATGCAGACCATTTTGAAAGGAGTATGAAACAATAAGCTGCTCATGCATAACATTATGCAGCAGGTACGAAAGTCAATGGGAAACACAGTAAAATGTATACACATGTTGAAAGTTCCTGTCTGAAATACCAAACATACTACAGTTGTCAAACTTTGATGTATAAACATATGGAAACACTTTGCAACCTGGTTCTTATTTTAAATGTTCAAAATGTTAGCCATTGACATACAAGCATGCATTGCAGTGTTGTGTGACATGGCACACATGAGTTCAAGTTTCAACTGGTATGTTGGTGACCTCCTGAACAATTATTTCCTGCAGCTCCTCCACAGTTAGTGGTTCTATACTGTATACTCTGTCCTTGAGGAATCCCAACAAGTAAAGTCAAGAGGAGTTAGGTCAGGTGACCTGGGTAGGAACTCAACAGGTCCATGACATCCGATTCACAGGTTGGGGAACTCCTTATCAAGAAATGCTATAGCCTCTTGATGGAAACATGGTGGGGCACTGTCTTGCTGGAAAAACACTTTTTTGCTTTTACTGTTTCCATATAGGTTCCTTATTGCAGGGACAACTGCATCATGTAACAGTTCCAAAGTAAGTGAAACCTTTAGGAGCTCTGTAAGCTTGCAAATGCATCAACTTTCAACATGATTACAGGGATAATTACTGTTATACATGGCTTCAAAGTGTGTATACATTAGATTGAATCAACCTCCAGTATATAAAGTATTACCAAGAATATACCTATATATACCAGTAGGATATATAGGAGTAGAGGTATATGCCTATATAAATATGACTTTTTTGTAATTAGGGAAAGTCCAGAATTTCTTAAAATGAAAGCCTCCATAAGTAGAATAAGGAAAATGTACGGGAATTTTATAATTTGTATATAAGAAAAAATATGCCCATGAAAGGGTTAACCTTCTGCTGGGGTGAGAAAGGCCATTCATGCAGAAAAGCTTTTGCTTTTCTGCGTGAATGTTATTTTAAACACTCAAAAACTTGAACCAAGGATATCTCTTTGAGCGAAAACAGGACAAGTGATAGTTTTACAGTGATGAGATCAGCTACTTGATCAAAAGAGTGCTTATCTTCAAGTGCTTATTTTCAACACCCACCAGAGATAAACTCCTATGTAGGCATCTATGTTTCACATCAATATTCATTGCATCACCAACACACACCATGCAGCAAGTTCAAACTTGGCATTGCCTTTCATGGTAGTCAAACTCATTGCAGTTAACACTTACACTGACTGACTTTGAACTGACTCAATAATGTGCTGAGTGTAACACTTGACCAAATAAGCACATACAGTGATGGACAGCTTTGGCATCTTGGGTCATACTGGAGGTTACCAGAAGATGGCCTTCTGTGTTTTGGAGATTGTTTATATTATCAATTGTATCTACAGCAGTGCTACTTAGTGCGTATATTAAAAAAACCAAATGTCCAGCATATCCAGTTTCAAATAACACCTCATTTAAGAAGTATCACAAAACCTTTCACTAATTCCCTATTCACCATGTACCATAGATTGCAAGGAAATGTGTTCTCTGTGACCCTTACCTGAGGGAACATGCATTTATGGAGTGGCTGTTGGGGAAGGTGAGAATTGGCTGGGTCGTATTGACCAGGCATGAGGTCAATGTGAATGCCCTGTGCCATTTGGACCAGGAAGTCATCTAAGGACCGAATTCCTTCCAGACTTCTGGGCTGGGTGTTTCGCAACAAATACTTGGCCTTCTTCATCTCCTTCTTTCCATATCCACTCTCTGAAAGGCTGTCACCTGAAAACACTCATTCAAGCTGTATAAACCACCCCTGGTCAAAGTGAGCATGGAAAAATCAAAGGGAGGAAAAGTTGACCCACCTGCTATTATGATTCTGGCAATATAAGTCCCTCCTTTCCCATCTTCCTCTTCTACATCGAGACCAAGCAGATGGTCAACCATTAGTTGGAGTGCCATGAGATTACACTTTTCTCCAGCAAGGCCCAACCCTGACACCAGTAATATATACCTAAAGAAATCCAAATAATACATAGACTTATGAGGACTAAAAAGATAATAATGAGCAGGAGTAGACTGGCAACAAGAATTTAGAAATCCCTGTGATGATTCTCGCCAATATGGTTTCAGAACGTTACCAAGATTCTCCAATTAGCAAGTTCATGATGGTAAAGGAGCTATAGTCCGAAACTCCTGCAAGGTGAGTCTCCTCATACCAAAGGCTTTACTTTCTGTTTTAGGGGCACTAAGCATGCCTACCACACTTGGAAGACTAGCCAGGCAGATTCAAAGATTTTTTTTTAAAAGCATCTTTTAACCAATTCAAAAATATTAATGATCATCATTGGAGAAGGATTGGGAATGATACTATTGAGATACAAAATTGGAAACTCAGTATGTACATTTATTTTTATAAATATGTATAACATTTGTTGATAGTAGTACTTATATAAAATATTGATAATTTGGTCTTTATTTTTGCAGGTGACTTGCTACTTATATGAGACTTTTTTAAAAAGATATTTCAGAACCCTTGACCATGGTGTTCAGTGTGAAGCAGCAAGAGCAGATTTTCCAGCTTTTCCTTGAAATGAGGTCTGTAATGTGAATGCAGAGACACTTCTGTACCTAATACAGACTTCACTCACGGAATGCACCTATCCATAAAAATATTCTTCATATTTCTGAAAAAGTGAGAAGGCATGGGACAGTGCATAATGTGAACCGTGAAGAATGACCTCATGGGTAGGTGTATTCTGTGAATGAAGTCTGTATTTGGTAAAGAGGTGTCTCGGCATCCATGTTACAGATATTTTTTCAATGGAAAGCTTTAAAGTTTGCTTTCACTACTTTACACTGAAGACCCTAGTCACTGGGTTCTCAAATACAGGGTGATTATAAAGTCTTGATCTATTTTTGTGCAGTGTTATACACAAAAATATATAAAGATTTTATAATCATGATATATATTATATTTTTAAAAAACCTCATAAAGGTAGCAAGTCTGCAAAAGTAAAGACCAAATGATCAATATTTTATAGAAATACTATGAGGGTCAGTCACATGAAAATGAGAAAATCGTTATATAAATTTAAGAAGAGCATGATATGAGCATAAAGCTCTGAGACAGGGCTTATTCATAACCATGTCAGGTAAGCTCAGCAAAGCAAAATGTTATATGTAAAATACATTGGTGCATTTCTAAGGTAATATACAACACATACAAGCTGCAAAAGGCAGGACAATGGCTTACACCCAGCCTCTTACAAAATGAGTCTATGAGGTGAACATTTTTTCAAGGAAAAAGCTTGGTTCTGAGGGGAAACAAGAACATGAAGAAAAACAGTTGGGTTCATCACTGCTAATTATTCTAGATTCTTAGTGTCAGGCAGAAATGAGAAAAGAGGAATGCTATGAGCAAGTTTCTGTCCTCCATATATTGAAGCAATGAAAAGAGATGCTGAAAAACCAGTTCAAGCATTGAACCATTTGAAGTATTTACCAATTTCATAGAAACTAAGTCCAAAAGGTATTGGAGTGGTAAATGATAGTATTTCTAGCTTAAACAGGCCACCTAGTGCAGAAATTTAGGCCTTCTGAGAGCTGAATCATGCCCAGCATCATCTAGAGCAATTAATTACCTTGGGAGTGGGGGACTTCACTCCCAAATTTAAAAAATTCAACCTGGGAACTTTACATATTGTCAAAGAGATTGACAAGTGAATGCAAGGAGGTCAGGATACTTCTTTATCATTTGTGAATTTAAAAGGATTGACCTGATGAAAACATGTTGCATATCAGTCAGCATTTAAAAAGTATTTTTTTTAAAGTTATATACATGTATGTGAGGGGATAAAACAAGATATAAAGATGAGATAAGATATTCAGAAGACACTCACCTCTTTTTGCCCAATGGTTTGGGCCAAGGAATCTGCTCCCAAGAGCCAGCCCAAAAACAGGATTTGACACAGAATGTCCCTCCTTCTGTTTCACTCCCTCTCACTCCCACAACAATCCCTGATACAAAATGTGGACAATGGTTTATTTTTCAAATGCTAATGTTTTTAATAAAATTTATCCTTTTTCAAAAAAGTTGGATGTTCCCAAAACTGCCTTTCCAGGGGAGGATCAAGTGGTGATGGTCTTATTCCATTCAGATTGGTGTCTGATGCTACTTGTAATAAGCAGAAGCAAAATGGCATCCCATGACATTTAATGCTCATGAGGTCTATGGTTTCAGACTGAGACCAAAAGAAAAAACTGTAGCAAAGCAATAGTTGCTGGCAATATCATGGAAAAATCCATGTCAGCTGGTTTCTGGTAGCCCAGAGCCCTGCTTTTTCCCACTTAAGCATTCATGCATAGAAAACGTTTTTCTGCTTCTGGGAAAAAAATGCAAGGGCTGAATTTCTAGATGTCAACTGTAGGAAATGAATGGAAAATGCAACTTCAGAAGACTTGTCTCAAAATATCCACAAATAAAAAATGCACATAATCACGTTTAGCTTATTTTTGGCAGGAAATACATGCACATATCATTAACTAATTCAGAAAAATTGTTGTTCCTTTTTCTCCCATTCCAGCCACAGGATGCATGGACAGGAGCCACAGAATAAGAGAGATGATTAGACATATTTACTTGCATCTATCCTAAATGACTTAAATTTAAATCTAAGCCTGTATAGATTAATTGAGAGGGTCAAGAGCTAAGATGAGAAATATAAATCCTAACACATTAACAGTCACAGCAATATTGACCTGGTGACTTTCCTATTTAGTGAGGCACACTGGTGTTCCTCATGATGGTCAATTTACTAATGAATTCTGGCATATAGAAGAATAGAACTGCATGCTGAGGGGAATAATGGTCTTTCCAAACCAACCCTCTCCAACCAAACTCAACCTAAACAATCCCAACCTAATATCTCCATGCAGTTTACCATTGGAGCCAAATGACATTTTTTTCATTCATTGCCATTCATTTCATTCAATAAAAGTAGCAACTGACTGATAATATGAAATTATAATTGACTTCCTGCTTCATTGCAGAAAGGAGGGACATAACAGCTCATCCTGCAATTAGTCACACCTTTAAATGCCTTGTCTTTTCAGAATCATGATTTTCCCCCAAGAATAAGGGAACACGTTTAGAATCCGTTCCCACTCCAGATTTTTTCAAGACCACTTGAGACTGATGCATAATGTTCCTCTGTAATGATTGGTGCTTGAGAAAGATAAGCGCATCGCTTGATTAGCACATTTTGCGGCATTCCATGGTTTTACATTATTCTCTATGGAAAATACGGAAAATGGGGGCAGCCATGTTGAATGGAGGCCAAGAACGCCCATTTTCATTGGAACAGTAAAAACCATTGATGCCTGTATTCTCACGCTGAACAATGCTAATCAAGTGAAGCGCTCCTATTTCTCAAGCACCAACTGCCTCAGAGAAACATTATACATCAATCTCAAGTGGTCTTGAAAATATCTATAATTTCGTAATCACTTCGGAGCTAGAGACTCAGACTAACGTTTCATAAGCTTATGTGGGTTTTCACTAAACCCAAGCGCACTCTAACCTCAGAGAACTAGCGAGAGACACATATCCCGGGAGCTGCATTCCTTCCATGTTGGGCTGAAAGAGTGAGAAAGTCAACCTATTTTGGGGGATGATGGGTCCAGTTGGGTTAGAAAATAATCATGGCCTTCGGCCACGACCCTTTTCTAACCCAACTGACCCATCATCCCCCAAAATAGGTTGACTTTCCCACTCTTTGGCCTTTGACACCGAAACTGGGAGAAAATAATGGAGGTCTACCTACTGTGTTACTGCAATGACAGGTCTCACTTGAATGAAGACTAGACTGGAAGGGCGTAGTAAAACGTGCCATGAGAGTTGGGTCAGTCTGCGGGAGGACCGACCTCAACCCGAGTACAGTGCGCATGCCCAGGAAGGCCATGAAATGTACTAGCAGATGCAGGGGCATGGGCGGAGCGTGGAACATGGCCGCTCGGGGTTGCCAAGGCCCAAGATATGTGACGAGTTTCTAGCGTTTCCTGGGCGAAACACCGTCCATGCGCCGTCAAGAGAAATATATTCCCAATATATCCATATAGATATAAGTATGATACTAATACTTATTTGCTCCCAAGGGGGTGGGAACGTATTCTAAAGTTAAGCCAGAATAAGAGAGGAAATTAGTGGGTAAAGAGACCAGATGGAGGAATATGTGACTCCTTTACTGTCACTCTTCAAATTTAGATTCACTTTCTCAGACTAAAATGGGCTCAACAAACCAGTTATAAGAGCTTGGGCATTGATGTCACCAGTCAATTTAATCCTCTGCTGCTCATCCTCAAGAATGAGTTCATCATCTTCCTGGATGTATTTTGTCCTTATTGGCTGCGGCTCCAAGTTATGCTGTGGCAAAGTGAAGATACCATCATGCTTCAAATAGTCATGATCACAACTCTTCAAACCAGAGGTCCTGCCTACAAGATTATGACTGCAATAGCAATGTGAATCATAAAAGACTTTCAATCACCTCCTCACTGATTTCCTTCAATATGGATGGCTTCAACTGCTGATGCTTGAAGAGGGTCCCAATCAAGATGACCTCAGAACCAAAAGGGAGATCAACTAGTTCATGTAAACGCTTCACTGGTGCTGCAAAAAAGGAAGAAGAGAAGATTAAACCTAAATGATGGCTCTTCAAGTTTATACTTAAACCTTTGCTAAGAGTTACGTCCTCAACCTATTCAAGTAGTTATGCTTAGAAATGTTTTCCAGATAAGCTAACTCTTTATTGTGTGGACTGAATATAATACCAACACCAACATCTAATTTGATTCAGTGTATTCTGAAGACAGTTGTCTCTCCCATGGCCATGCTATCGGCTAGTAGGCTCAGAGATTTATGTACCTAGCTCATACAACTCTAACATTAGCTGTTACTTCTATTTATTTAGTGTCCACAGGGTCTTTGTGTTTCATCTGAGGCTACCTGTAAGATCGGAAGCTTCAAGTTTTCTCTTGATCATAGGACGCATGATATTGATGCGAGCGGCATAAGTCGCTGAATACTGCCGGGAGAAATTCCTCTCTTTCAAAAAGAACCTTTCGGAACCATTCTTGTACACTGCCACCTGGCGCTGAAGAACTCCTCCCTCCATGGACGGCATTCACGAAGCTTAATATGAGTACCCAATGCAAGGTGAGAAAATTTTTGAGGTAGAGGAACCTCGGATGCTCAAAATCGTGGCGCGAAGCGCGGAGCACGTGATTCAAAGTTGATGCAGGCCGCCATTTGGTTACAGCATGGATGCCATGTGTTTCTCAAGCAGACAAATAAGAAACATGAACTGATTGAGCACAATCAAGAATTGATTGTGCCCACTTCTTTTTTCCTCATTATCTCCCTCCCTCCATTTGTAAGAGCAGAAAGGAAGTGAATGCAGCTTCAAAATTAATATATATATGGAAAATAAGTTTAAAAACTAATTTTCAAGATTCAAGATAGTGATATCAAGAGGCGATTTCGCCCATTTCGATATCACGTATCGAGGTCGAGCGTTCCTTAATTTTAGGGTAGGCCTAACCCTCTTAAAGCTAAATATTTTTGTATTTTGTTTTGTTTTGTTTTGTCTTTTGTTTTTTTTTTTTTTTTGTTATTTGCCTATCCTAGTTACTTACTGTCTAGTACCTAACGTCAACATTGCCCCCCACCTTTTTGCCTGTCCATGAAAGCATCTAGTTTCTTCTTAAAGATAGTCACAGAAGGGGCAGCCACTACTTCGTCATCTAACGCATTCCACGCGTTCACCACTCTGCAAGTAAAGAATTCCTGTCTCGACCTGAGCCGCACCTGCGGTTTGCGCAACTTAAGTCGGTTACCTCTCGTTCTCTTGCTGTCATCAAACTGGAAAAACCTACCACACTCGACATTATCTATTCCTTTAATTATCTTGAAAGCCTGGATGAGATCGCCCCTCCTTAACCTTCGTTCGAGCGAGTACAGTCTCAACACTTCTAAACGCTTCTCGTATGATAGTCCCCTAACCTCCTTAATCATTCTTGTGGCCCTCCTCTGTACTCCCTCGAGCGCCAACAGATCGCCCTTATTTGTAGGCCTCCAAAACTGGATGCAATATTCCAGCTGGGGTCTTATCAGCGCCGCATACAACGGAAGAATAACGCGAGATGTCCTACTTGCAACCGACCGACGAATGTAACCTAGAATCCTATTGCATTTGGCCACCGTCGCTTGCGCGTGCGAGGAAAATTTGAGGTCCTCGTCGATAGAAACACCTAAATCTCTCTCTCCGTTTGCCTCATCCAATTTAACATCGCCGAACGTGTCGAGAGACCTACCGTTGTTTCGACCGACGTGGAGAACTTTACACTTACTTTTATTAAACCTCATGAGCCATTTCTTGCTCCACTCGTCCAAAAGCCTTAAATCTCGCTCGGCTCTAGCCCTATCCGCCTCCCCCCTTATGGTAAAACCTATCTTGGTGTCGTCGGCAAATTTACTTATCTTACCCTCTACACATTGAATTGAGCTAGTTTTGTCTAATGGAACCCATCATGATGCAGTAATGAATACATCCTTACAGGGAGGACACAGCAACGACATCGCAATCGCAATAACAAAAGGCCGAGCCGTATGCATATCATGCTTAGAACAATGACCCAGCAATCGCATATCAGAGTTCTAATCACCAGCACCAGTTAGGCTTTCGACATAACCCAGACAACATTTTTCGTGGGGCCCACGTTGGCCCAACGTAGGTTGTTCACATATGCCCCACGTGAAAGTGACCGTTGGGCCAACATGGGGCCAACGTTACCAGTAAATTGGACAGCAACGTATAACCCACTTACCCAAGTAGCTAGTTTTGGCCCTATATCATCATTTCGTACCATATACTTAAATTCCCTATCCAGTGAAGGTATTCCCATCTCTAGTACGGAACCTGTACTATGTACTACAACCTACCAAGGACATGTATACCCTGATAGGCAGGAGACATGGGACAGTACAGACGTGGATCTTCCTGTACTTATTATAGCACGTGTCAGCGGATGGACCACCTCGTACGGTTCCATGAAGTATCCGTAATACCAGTCGTTCATTTCCTCCTTCTGCCATGAAGATGAGAAACTGGCAAAATTCAATTCACGGATGCATCCCTCCACATATCACATCTCCTTTTCAGATGTATTTCCCTGTCTTTCAAAAGGATTCTCATCGGGAATATGAGTTTGTTTATGGCCTGAGCTTCATGAATCTGTCTTGAATAAGTGGATAACAAATGATGAAATGTCCGCGCTTATTGATTCCTATAATAGGACTAGACGAGACATATGGCGAGGTACTAAACAATCCTGCGAAGGACGATTCCAGGGAAAGAGGGAAGGGATCTTTAGCGTGCTGTGCGAAAAGCGAGACCCCATCCTTACATCTAGTGGCCTGGCGAAGAACTTCAAGGTTTTGAAGTTCTCCACCAGGAGTGCTGCAGTTCTTTTCAACGTGTGGCCACGCTGTATGCCCACGCTGGGCCTACATGGGGCCAACATCGTTCCCCAACATTCACGTTCCGCCAACGTTTCCCACCTTTATCCAATGCGGGCCCAACGTAACGTGTTATCTGGGAACCCGCTTAATTTTAACTCTAAAATGCATGTTGTAGCAGATATGCTACCTTCTGCTTACAAATTCAAGGAAGGAATTTTTATTTATTTTTTTTTGTGTTCTAGGTCCTAAGTGAAATCCATCTGATATTTCTCCACAGAAAAAAAAGCATGCATCAAAAGGTTGAAAAGAAAGTACGGTCTTGGAGGGTTAGAAGTCAGACAATATTTTATTTTTTTGCGAGAAAGAAGGTTCAGATGAGAGGGTTAAGGTGGCAAGTGCCTCACGATACACAACAGACATTAGATATCCCCACAAAGCCAAATGCCTGCTGTGGTGAGGTCGAGCGAGTGAGGCGAACACGTGTTCGGGAAATGACGACTGATCGATTGGACCAAAGTGCCTCTTCCTGGTGGCCGTTTTCGACGACCCTGCAGTTCTCTTCCGAATGGTCTCATTCATATTCCCACCAAATATTATAGCTCTGCGATGCATAGTTTGCATGATATGGCAATTGGAACACGCTAATAAACTTTATACTAACCCCGTATGTTTAAAATAAAAGAGAGCCGAAAACTGACTCAGGTCAATTCTTGGCTCCCTTTTGTTTTTATTATAATTTATACTCCTTTAGGTTTAAATGTATGTACTTGATCGAACTGATCGAACTTGACCAGGCCCAGTTACTTGATAATGGCAGAGACTCGACTTAAACCAATAAAGGGTGATACCATGAGCACTTATTCTCTCTAGTTTGCACAAAAGCGCACGATGAGACGCGCTGTCGAAGGCTTTCGCATGATAATGCAAGATTCCTCCTGTCTTCTCATTCGAATTCGAGGAGTGGACTTGCTAGATTAAGTGTGAAATTGCATGTTGCGTGGAGAGACTTTTCTTGAAACCGAACTGTGACGAAGAAAATAATGATATGGCGTTCAGATAGGAATACATAAGATTATGAAATAGCTTTTCGAAGACTATCAGTAGTGCCGACAGTGATCGTTATCGGCCGATAGCTAATACTGTACTTCGTCTTAGGCTCCCTTTTAGTGGAGACATTAAAGGAGGCGTCATCAAAATGCTTGAGAGCAAGGGTCCTGAATGCAAAGGAGGGGCAGAAGTTGGTGAAACGGATGGGAAGACCATTACGCACAAAAAAGAGACGAAGGTGACGGATGAAGACATCCTCTCGCTCCCGCAAAGATTCAGCATGCTGAAGCATGAGGAGTGCTGTTCCAAGGGACGGTACTGTGTTCTATACTTCGAACTGCTAGAGCTTACGAGAGGTGTCTTTTCTTTCATTGGGTTAAATCAGCGGTACTCAAACTGAGGCCCGCGAAGACTAAATGTACTTTGCAGTGAAAAGAAACCCACAATGAACACTATAACCCTGATTGGACTTTTTTATTTGTACTAGTAGACTTTCTTTTTTTTTTTAAGTGCGACCCGCGTAAATTCGGTCACGTCTGTATGATGCCCCCGGTTCAAATTGTTTGAGTACCGCAGGGCTAAATGCTCAGATGTTGCCTGTAAAACTGTTCCAACATACGTGATAGTTGACAGGTACAGGATTCCGGAAATATTTCTGCTACGACCTGTACTTTATGAAATTACCCACTTGCTAAACCCATCCATCTGTCGCATAAAATCACTGTAAATGGAATCTCAAAACTTATGGTAATGATCTCTTCCTCGAAAAGACCATCCAATCAAGCCCCGTTCTGGAATCTTGATCTAAAATCAAGGATAAAAGAGCAATTTGAGAGCGAAATTCAATCATAATTCAAATCAAAATGAGTCCTTCCTTCCTTTCCTGCGCGACGTTGAAGATGTGAAGGCTAAATTTTTTTCTGGTTTTGTAGTCCCACTTGAAATTAGGGATACAATGCCACTCAGATTCAGGACACGCGAGACGTTTCTGGGAATAAGGCGCTTGAGTCTTTGATGGTGTAGCTGGGGGAAGACCTTGGGAAAGTAGCCTGATTGCCTGGAACCACACCGGTTCTTTTCTTGCATTTTATTCAGTTACTTCTGAAACTTATTTGCGTTTTCCTTTGTTTTGAACTATCTTCCAAGGTTCAATTTCATTCCCATTTTATTTTGGTGTTCTTATTCTGTTTACTGAAATCGACTAAATTCTTATTATCTATTAACCAGACTCAGTGAGTTCTCGATCTTAAGCGGGTTGAACCTTGCTCACCGTAAGTTTTATCCAGTGCGGGACGTTGGTATAGCAAAGAAAAACACTTCATAAAAATTTCGCTTTGATTTGTTTTGGACGTTTCAACAGTATAATTATGAATTTCTCACATATTTCGACCCACTGCGTCCCGCGTACGTGACAGCGGTTGTCATAGAGCCCCATCTGTGAAAGGCTTCTTATCGCTTCTGAGACCAATAACGCTCGAGATAGTTATTCCTTTGGGTCACATTCGTCAGGCGTCGTAATCTTTTGCAGCTTCTCTCTCGACCGCTACGCTCGTATGAATTCGAAAGAAATGAAATTTTGACGTGACAGATCGCTCTCTTCAGAATGGATCAATAACGTTTGTATATTTCTTGAAAAGAGGAGACATTTTGGGGGTCCGTGGTGGATCTAATTGTTTAAAGGACTTTAGATCCTTTTGCGTCTCAAGATTCAAGATAGTTAGTGATATCAAGAGGCGATTTCGCCCATTTCGATATCACGTGTCGACGGTTACCTCTCGTTCTCTTGCTGTCATCAAACTGGAAAAACCTACCACACTCAACATTATTTATTCCTTTAATTATCTTGAAAGCCTGGATGAGATCGCCCCTCCTTCGTTCTTGTCGTCTACGAATCGGTTGGCTTCTCGTCTGCAAAACGCTTCAGGGGAGGATTGATATTTGATAGGCATTTCCCTCAACGGAGTACCTAGGCGATTATCTATAGATCATTGAAGAAGGGTATCCCAATGAAGGCATTTGATCAAGTGGATGTTCTCTAAGGCACTTTATGTGCTGGGAGGGGCCTGCGGTCCGCCCTTTGGGCACCCCTGCACTAGACAGTATAGTCGTCCGTGGGTAAGATGTTGGAATACAATTTAATGAGAGGTAGATTCATGAATCCTGTCAATGATAATCTGTGATGAGTTGGAAGCACGGCTGGGGCCTCAATGATCCAAATGGGTCGCTCACATACCTGAATCCAACCCCATGGGGCTGAGTCGCACAAGATCTCTCTTTCGCGATAAGATCTGCAAATAAGAAGCTGAAGCATGTCCTTGAACCGTGGAGCCGATGAGATCGCCTTGGGACAAGCAGCGCACATACACGTGACGACTGGCCATTAATTTGAGGCGAAATTGTTCCATTTCCTTGAGCAGACGATGGCGATTGTAACATACAGTATTGGGTGATTAATAAATAAAAAAAACCGCTCTGCTGTTTTCTATGGGAGAAACACAGTTTCATAAACGCCAAAAAATTTTTATATTTGCTCCGCGATCGACATTCGACGGTTACAAGGTGTTGAGATGCATGTCAGCTCTTTTTCAGCACCCCTGCCTAAGTCGTGCAATGCCCATTTAGAGGTGATGCATGCACGACTGTCTCAGAATTCAATGATATTTGACAAACAGTCGGATTATTTGGAGAATAGCCCTCAGACAAAAACATGTCTGTACTTCGAGCGGAGGCCAAGAAAAGTGGGTTTTAATTCGATCATGGGAGCACAAAATGGCCCCCAACCCCCCTTGGATAGATTCCTGACTACACGGTTATTATGTCACCAACTTGTTTTGGTTGGCTATAACTTTTCAAGGGACAGTTAGATGCAGCCGATACTAGACAGAGAGGTTCATGAGTCTAGATGATTTTTCCACATCCGCAGGATGGCGCTGTTGTTGACCGGAGGGCCCCTTATCTTCGTGCTACGCCACGTTTAGGTAGGGAAAAAAAAACTTAGTTTTTTTTTCGAGCCTTTGAACTTTACATGAGCCTCTGCCAAATATCAGTTGTATCTGAGAGCCCTTTCAAAAGATTTGATCTTGAAGCCAATTTAAAAATATATATATTTAGTCAAAATCGGTTTAAGGCCAAAACAAGGCAAACTAATTGAATTTTGAGATGATGGGAGACCATATATACATTTGAGGTGTGATGTAATCTATCTGTAAACTTTGTAACAGGACAATTCATAGCTCAAAGAATTGTTCCGAGAAAAAACCCAGACCATCTTCTCAGCACCTTGTATTAATATATGTCCAACATCAAGAGTTTATGAATCTTCTCATTTTTGCTCGAATATACGAATCTTACTTTCTCCAATAGAAAATGGTGTAGCGTTTTTTTTTTTATCACCCTAAATATGGCCAAGGCTTGGGAAACATCGCCAGAGTCAACTATCACTTGCGAATGGCCTAGCATTTTGGTAGAGTGAGGTTAGCCAGTTCGACGAGGTCTTCCGTGGTGAAAGCGATATGTCAAACGACGACAGGCCCGACGCGGGAAAATGCGGGACGCCTTGCGACAAATACATTAGAGTCTGACTTGATTCGGGAGATTTGCCCCTCACTCATTTTCGAATATCGAGGTTACATTTGGCAAGAAAATGAAAGCAATAAATTTTCATTTGAAGGGAAAGAGCGGAATTTGTGTATGTAGTTTAGAGGTTTAGCGGTTTAGTTTAGGTTTTCTGTTCTCTCAGAAGTGCATTCTAGTGCTTTTGCGAAAATTAAAAAATCGCTCTTTACATCTTAAATTAAATTAGAAGGGAGACTCACCTGTCACCAACGAGGATGATACAGTTAAAAAAAAAATAAAGAAGCATGTTGGAGATACTGGAGCGTGACAGGGTACATCGATTACCTCTAGGCAGCGGGCTGGGTGAAGTTCAAGTAATAAAATCTTGTTATTCCCCATTATGGATGTTGATGCCCTGCTTTTGGCATCGATCCTTTCAACAGAGTCATGTCACGTTCGTAGGCAGAGAAGAGATCGTCAGAGACGAAGGCTCGAGAAATCCGCACTCCCAAATAAGTTCTCATTCCAGGCTAAGTTAGGTCTTATTTAATATACGCGATAGTACAACCTTTCATAATGGTCCTGCATCTAGGGGACATTTTAAGGTACCAGTGATTCTTGTCGGATCTAGACGGCCTTGTTCTTGTCGGCCAATGGGCTTCAATTATAAGGAGTTCCTCCATGCAAACCGCCATGAGTTTGACGACACATCTCTGCTCTGATTGGCTGAGCATGGGTTCCTTGTGCGTTACGTTGAATCCAGCTCAACTCGTCGCACTGAACCTAGAGCCCAGGTTTTGACCGCACAAGGACACTCGTGCTATGCTTTGCTATGCGGTTGGTGTGAACCTAGCTTAACACTATACCACATATGCAGAGCTTTTTCATGACACATCACAATCACATATGTTGCCCAAGGCGCACTTGAGTCCTCCAGCATCCCAGCCCATGCGGGAGCCAATTGGAATTCAGAGCTGCATTCAATTGTTCTTCCTGCTTCAGCTTCTCTGGGATCTCTATCTGAATTGCCATCCTGTGATAGCAACAAATTCACAACCAGAGGATGGGAATCTTGGAAAAGTGCTCAGCAAAGGATTCCAGTGAAAGTGGATGGTTGAGAAGCCACACTAGTTTTATTACCAACTAATATACAAAACCAGTGAGGATGCAACAAAACGGGAGTGAATCCAACACATTCTCATATTTTGCATCTTCCTTTGATGTGGGCGCTAATTGAAATGTGTGCTTGCCTGACTGAGAAAACAGGAAGGAAAAATAAGACAGAAACAAGCTCCATTACCTAATTTGCTTCTCCACCTTGTCAGATTCACCGTCTTTTCTTTACAAACGTTTCCATACATCAAATATCTGTGAGTGGTCAAATATTCATAAACACTATCATACACATCTGAATCATAAGTGTGCACTAATAGAAAAGAACACAGACATGTCTATGGGCTAAAATAACTCACCTATTTTGTCATGGATTCAGGCTTGAAGAAAGGATAAAAAGGGAAAAAGGATGCAAACAAAATAGTTCTTTAAGGATGCAGTACTTGAGAGAAAAATAAAATGACTTGAGATCAGTTTTAGGGGAGATGATTCTCCACATGCTCTGAGAAATGTGGAAACTCATAATAAAAACTCAGGACCACAACAGTCTTTTTTTATGACTGGGACAAAAAAAACTTGCAGTGCTGAAGTGAAAATTGAAGCCATCCAACCTACATGGAAAGCAGGAAGATTTGGCAGAAGGCCGAGCACAGGCTTGTACTTGTTTCCACTTTTGATTTCCCAAGACAGTGGAGCAGACGAGCAGGCAGATAAGACAGAAAAACAGACAGCAGGGAGAGGTCAATGGACAAATGGACACGTAGTGAATAAGAATCCATCACAAATTGGAAAATGTCCCTTCTTCCTGGCCTGGGATGGAGTCACAAGGGCACTTCAGAGGATTTTGGTCCAATGTGTCCCAGGAGAAAAGAAGAGAATCCTAGAAGCAAGAGATGAAGTGCACTACATGTCCAAGTGCTCCGTGTCTTCCATGCTGGCCAGGGGTGCAAGGTGGGGTTGACCATTAGTCTGCTGCAAAAAAGAAAAGACAAAAACCGACACATGAATAAACCACCAAATCCCAAGTGCCAATCCTCTTTATGGGAAAGAGATTCTACAAGTCAGAGGTGAAACAAAGTTCACTCACAGTCAATATTCTGGATATATGTGGGGATACTGCTTTGGTCTATTATTTCTCACATTGGTACAATGTCATATTCCGTTCATTCATCTTTTCTGATGACAAGCAGGCATAGCTCCTTGTTAATCTCTTAACAACTTCTATATTTTTAAGGATATGAGAAATTAAGCTTGTCTTTCAATTGATGGATATAAGTGATTTCATAGTATAAAGCATTTCTGAGCAATCCACTTTCTCTAAAAAAAATTTTGATTGAAAAAATTCAAAAATACATTATTTCTGGTATACATTTTAAACCTCAATATTGGCATATCAGATGCCCACCAAATTTCAATAATGATGCACTTCCAGTGAAAATATATGAAATGGTAGCAATTCTTGGTGGCTATTCCACCTCAGCAATTTTAAAAATTAAGGCATTTCTTATTTATAGCAATAACCATAATTCCAGTACCTAAGAATAATGAGATTTCCCCCACTTGCAGAGAAATGAACTTGACCACATGCAGCACGTAGACAAGTTTTGATGGCGTTCTAGCATAAAACTAAATCCTTCTTTCACACATCCATATTAGTAATAAAAAAAAGTGTCCAAGGATTTTGATCATTTTTGTATTTTGGGCAGTCAATATTCATCTCTTGGAAAGGATATATTTTTTTATTACATGTTTATAGACAGAGACACTGACTAAGTTATCTGAGAATATAATGCATATATAGGGGGATGGATGCAAAGTTCATCGAAAAGAACAATTCTGGAAACTAAACTACCAATGCTGCAAAGTTGAAACTTTGCAGGATGGTGATAGAAAAGTGAAAGCTTTTTTTTTCTGGGAGACTAGTGAGCTTTAACCCTTTAACTGCTACTGTTGTGTTAATGCCTCAAAAGTGTCACCAGTGTTGCTGTCATATATACAGTTTAGTATTTCTCTCATCATTGCTACTGTTGGGTTCATTCAGCAGCTTTTATTTATCAAGGAACATGTTCTGACATCTCTTGGCTGTCTCTAATACTTTTTGTAGCTGGTTTGAAATATTTATTGCCTGAAAATATGCTGTTTTCATATTCCCATCACCAAATGGTTACCACATGGTATCTGAAATATGGCATCAATGAGTAGTTTGAAAATTTGACAAAACAGAAAAATGATCAGTTTGGACTTGAAACACATTTCAGCAATTAAGAGTAGTTATAAGTTGCATGTAACTTATTAGTACTTTAGGGTGTGGTAATCGCAGAAACAGGAGTTGATGGGAGAGGGAAGGGACTACACACACCCAGCCGCACTGATACAGCTGTAGTGTCGAAAGAGTCAATATCAGAAGGCTCCAGCAGAAGTTCCAGAAGTGTGCTAGACTGCCTTGTTCTGGAAAGCCTTAAGTATCTCCTCAGCAACTGTGCACCTCTAGAATTTAACCTTTGATGTCATTTGTAGCACATTTGTAGCACATTTGAAGTGTATCCAAGCACATTGATGAGGACTAAAGAAGAAATTGTGACCCAGCACATTTCCTATATCATAGGACTTCTCACAGAGCTGTTGATTCCTCTTAGTGCATAGAAACGATATATAGGTTGTGCCAGAAAAGTGAATGCTTTTCAGCAAACCTATCATGTGCTCCTGTCAACCAATCCTAAGTGAACTCCTTGAGTTTGTTTACAATGTTCCAAGAACACTGATAAAACATGCCTGGCACTTTTCATGTGAGGATTAAACAAAGGTATATTGCTGTTCAATGCTAAGAGGGTCAATCTTGCTAGAGGTTTCACAGAAAAATGTGTCCTTAGAAATTTTCCACTTAAGTGGGGCACTGCACATCCATGCATGAAGTAATTGGGCAGATCGCAGCATACAGCTCAGGGACCTTCTGTTCAAAATTTATATCACCTCGTCAGCTACTTGAATGCAGGGACTAAAAAGTCCCTGCATTCAGTTATCTGGTAAGCAAGAGTGGAGGATGATGATCAATAAAGCTGTGGGCCATACTTATAAAAGTTAACCTGGTCTAGACCAAGAAAATAGATGAAATTGATGGATGTAAGGTATATGACAACAGTCCATGACACAATGGGACAAATGTTCAAATCAATATAATCCATTTCAAATCCAAAATTTTTTCCAGGGAGATTTTCACATTCATCATGGTTAATGGAATTATGGTGCCAACAATATTTCAAGTTATTGGTAAGAGAAATTGCAAATGCATGGAGTGCTCTTTCCTTTCTCTCATAACTTGGGCTGAACACACATGAAAAAAAGACAAAAAATAATTGCTATTAAACTTCAAAACCACATGATACATTTCATTTCACTTTCAACATTTAACAAAAATTAGCCATGCACATGCAGAAAAGGCTTGCCAAAGCTCTAAGACACGAACACTTGAAATCAGGAAAAAGCATAGAAGCTGAGCATGATTCCTTTCAATAATCTATACATCTTGACTACAACACAAGATGGGAAGGAAGGTCATGGGAGAGATACCAATTGCACAAAACATACAATGAATGTAAATGGTATCACTCACGTGAACAACTGCAACCTATGGTACTTTCTCAGTCTCTCTGGATCTCAGTCTCTCACAAGTGAAGGATGAAAAGTGGTTCAGGAAAAAGGGGACGTAAACACATTTGCATACCTGCTCTTCCTAAGCGTACAACTGCCAGGGCCCAAAAGCAGCAATGTGGAAGAAAAAAAGCCAAGAAAGCTTATGTCTATGACCCAACTCCATTTACCATGCTCCACTCAAAGGGCATAAGCCATGGGTGATGAAACAGGTAAGACATTACCCCTCTGAAGTGCAATATTGCATAGCTGTGTAGACATATAGGCCTACCCGAGGATATAGAAGCAACACTTGGATACCACATAAGCCAACCATGCAAAGCCATATGGATTCCACAATGGGAATTCATCAAAAAACTGATAGAAGAAACCTCTAGCTGTTAGGAAGAAGTCTATGCATCTGTATACCTCAACTGTGAAATACCTATGACATTAAAATACTTCATTCTTTGTTTTGGTCTATGTGTAATTGACAGTATGGTGTATGTCTTTGATATCCAGCAACACCATCCATGATTATGTTTCTTGAGTGATGGCATTGCAGCATAAAAGCCTGATGGGAATGAGTTTCCTTGAGTACAATCATGAAATCCTTATGGGCATCAGCAGGATTAGCAAGGTGGGGGATTGTGAAGGTCAGTAGTGAGGAACCCAGCCAAGCCTAGAATCCAGCATGCAGAGGAGAAAAGGCTGACCTCTATGGAGTTGGACGCTGTCACTACAGCTACTGCAGTGCCATCTAATAAAGAGAAGGTCAGAGAACAATAGGACTTTCCCCACCCACACTCAAACATGGCACCTTTCGAATCATTTATGTATTGAATTTCATTACAGTAACATCCTACTGACTCACCTCCCATTCAACATCCAAATATAAATTTAATGTCTTGGATAATTTCAAGTCAGTAATTCAAGTGCTTCCAAATGTAACTTAGCAAATAATTGCAGGAACTAAAGCTATGCAAACTGATGGACAGTTCTTTCAGAATCATAAGATTCCCATGATGCATCTATCACCCTATTTCAGGACTTGAGAGGTAGCCAAATTGCATAGGAACACATGCAACAAAAGTAATGACTTGGGAAACTCATGCAAAGCTGCAGCAGCTGGTGCTCAGCAAGTTCTAGATGCTAAATACCAGTACTAATGGCTATGACCTTCAAAGAAGTTCACTTCTGCACCAGTAGTCTTCTTGAAGCAATGATAGAAACATTTTGAAATTTTCACCTTATTCAATAAGAAAAGCATTATTCTTCTTTCCCTACTGACTCCTCCATGCAAGTAATGGGATGGACACCATGCAGATTTCACTAAAAGGATGACTCCTGACTGAGGTATGAAAATTTTTGGGGGGATTTTGATTCATATGCTTTTTCTGTCCCTCGTCAGTTTGTAATATACAGTCGACTCTCAAGTATAACAAACAGATATAACAAAAAACTGGTAATATTGAAATTCTAGGCATTGCCTGGTTGAATGTCCATAGGCATCAGTGATAAAAAGTTCAGATATAACAATATTGGATGCAATGAAATTTGACATCCCATCAAGAAGGAAAGAAAATTATTTTAATGAAAACACAGAAGGGTCAGTTCTTATCTTCATCCAGCCCTTCACCTTGGTGCTTCAGCCATACAACCCACAAGAAGGATCCCTGTAGAATGTGCATGATAAGGGGAGTGTGAGAGCAGTGGGGAATTCATGTGAATGTGGTACACCAGTGCTTGTGCTCATCTCTATAGTTGGGAAGGATCAGGCTCCTTAGCCCCAATCAACCAATGTGAGTTTCATTTGACAAGATTTTGGGAGGTGTATGCTCTGTACATAGTGGAGGCTTTTAAAAATTTAACAGGATAGTTGTCAATGCATTTCCCCAATACTTGAACTGCAAGACCATATGTTCATGGGACATAGTAGGTGAAGTGTTAAATTACTGCCATTCATGAAACCCTCAGAGCTGTTAGCCCCCTGTAATACATCCATGGGATGATGAACTCATGCATACACAAGCATAAAATAGATTCATTCCTTCAAATGGAGATATATGACCTTCTCCTGATACAATAAAAACACAATATAGCAAAATAATTCCAGTGACTTCATCAACTTGATTTTAATGAGAGTCAACTGTATGGACACCTACTTACTAAAATGCATTGTTTCCATGTCTTTATAATTGTTTCAGTTTCAAGCTGTCAAATCTGAATCTGAAATTTGCCAACTTCTGGCACATGATTCCAAGGACAGTGTAACTATGTGAACATTCAAATGTTTTAAATAAGAGTGTCGAAAGATACAGAAATACTCCAACAGAGAAACAAAACTGATCTTGAACTTGGGATCTGACCAAACTGTAGAAATAAAAGCTGGGCAGGGAACCCAAAGCCTCTGCCAAGCTTGAATGCAATGCAACAAGGATAAGGACTGTCAAAACAGACCTTCAGCAGCTGCTGTTGTGAGAGTTGTGGTCTTAATTAGAGTGACACTCTCCTCAATCTTGTCAGACTTCACCTCAGTCCTAACTTCTTTCTTGGTCACTGAGATCTCTGCATCCATGTTCCTATGATATCAGTATAATGAATTATGACTAAAATCAATTCTGATGGAATAATGCTCAAGTTGGAAAGCAATGTGTTGGTACCCAATGTGATCCTTGATGGAGTCAATGGTGATGTCAGCAGATATGGTTGAAATGTTATGATTCCCCTTGGCATCAGGGGATGTAGGTGTCGTTACTTCATTGCTGTGATTTTCTTTCACCTCTTCCTCCTCCTCCTCTTCTTGTTTATTCTCTGAGGTAAAATGAAAAAATTCAGTTTTTCATCAGTAATGTCAGTAATTCAATGGATACATACAATGGATACAGGCATACAAATTGCAACAAAAATTGATTTAGAAATAAAATTAGATGCCTAGGACCAGCAATTACCATCAGCAGCATTCTCATCCTTCTTTTCTTCTTTGGTTTCAGGCTTTGGAGGCCGTGAACCCTCAGGAAGATCGAGGGTGCACTTGGACCTTGTGACATATGCAGCAGCTAGGGAGACACGTTGCAATTCACTTGGAGAGTGGAGATACATTGCCTCTCCTCTATCAGTGAACACCAAGCTCAAGATCCCACTGCAAAAGGCACATCATTCACTGTTTACACTTACATGTTAAGATTGAATAAAAGGAAAACACATGGAGGGATGAAGAGACAAGGATCTGGCATTGGCATCCTCAAAAAGAAATGGTGAGCAGGTGAGAGTAGCACACAAAGACTCTGAATGGAAAAAGCATAGGCGGGGAAATGGTAACAGGATAGGGAAATGGTATTGGGGTGCATGATCATGTAGAGGGAGGTGGAAGACCATCCACACATGTCACCTGCTATCCCATCCCCTAATAAAGCAACTGATGCTCATTGCAAAGAACAAACTTGGCTAATAGTCTCCACTCTTACTGGAATTGAAACTCATGAGGAACATTTGCTTCTAGGTCAATCAACCCTTTAAATCTGGTGGTTGTTTATATGGTACCCAAATGACCCCCACCCAACCTCCACCCCAGACAACCAGTAAGAAACCAGCTCTGACAATGACCTGAGGTTATCAGTAATAACTCTTCACTGATAGATGATTAAAAATGAAACAAATGGGAATTCAGATTATGAAAGGTACTAACTTGATGTCTTCCTTGCGAATGCAGGTGGCATGGAACTGTCGCTTGAGGTCAGGGACTGAGAACACGGAAAGTTCACCCTGATTTGTCAGGCAGGCAAGGCAGGTCTCCTTATGTTCAGAGTTGGCAGTGGACATGAATGTTGCAAAGCCTGCCTTCCTCAGCCGAGATCCCTCATGAGCTGTTACTTTGTACTTCCCATACGGTTTCAGGCTGGGTAGGGTGAAGACTTTGAACTGCTCCTCAGAGCAGATGAGGACGCGATGTGTGCCAGGGGTTGGTTCTGGTCGACCACAGAATTCTGGAAGTGGCATTGCTGCTCCATCCAGAATCATGATTGAGATCACCGGAGCACGGTGCCTCAACTGGATTTCTTTAGCTGGAAAACCCCAGGTGAAGAATCTTAAAAATTGTCCTGAATCATCATTAACAGTGCAAAGAGAAGTGCTAGCCACAGAACTCACCCAACTGGCAAGTCACTGGCTCTTCTTTCCTCTTGTCATCTTCTTTGGATATAGACAAGGTAAAAACAAAAATGGCTCCACTGTTGGTGCCAGCCCACAGGGTGGCACTTGTATTATGCACTGCAGATAAAATACCAAGTGAGACATGCATAAAAATCTGCAGTACCTTTATTCAGGATAGAGAAAATATCAATGCAAGGAAAAATGGTTTGCAAAGGAAACATGACACTTACCATTGACAATGTAGGATTCAGCCAGGTACAGGGAACGAACCATGCCCCCAAGAGTATCATCTGCAGAGCGGGCTTCTACCTGGCGTTCAACTGGCTTTGCATCTTCAATTGGTGAGGCACTGCGTTCCTTCTCCTGCTGGGATGGAGATTTTTCCTTTCCCTCACCAGCTGGGGAACTGAGAAAACAATCAACATTGATAGCTCTGACATCACCTCAATGGTACTCATGCAATATGAAAACAAATCTGTGAAGCCCAATAATGAACATATTGCTATCCTGGACATGTTTAACTCTGTTAATTTATTAACTTAATATTCTTTCAAAGCAAACTTGCTGGAAATAATCTCAAGATGCTCCACCAGAGATGACATGGTTTCAAACTCATTTTAGCATATATTTTTTAAATATTCTATTTACTGTGTCCAACACCCTCAAAGCAAGTTAGTGATTGACTGTAACATTAAACAATCACATAAACCAAACCAAGCTATTCTCATTGAGAAATTCCATATTTCCCCACCTGTGTGTTTGAAATCCAATAACTAGTCATCACCTGCTTCAGAAAACAAACATAGTTCAAGGCTATGCAGGATAAATTTGCAAACATAATCTGCCAGAAACTGTTCCTAAAGATAATTTTTCCAACCTAAACAAAAATGGAAAAAAAATGAGGATAATCAAAACAAATGAGAGCATGGACATCAATATCAGTAGAGAGCTTAAAGAGCCCCCACAGAGGTCTTTGGGTTCTTCTCCAGTCTTGGCATTCTTAAATACCAAACACCCACATTCATAACCATGACACATATGTGTATAATCATGACAATACATCTATATATATTTGTTGCAATGAATGCAAGCTTACAGTAAATGATTTCCTTTGCATTGCAGAACAAACTGCATAAAAATGACAGTGTGACCAAGAATTGATTAAATTTTTATATGCTGCATCCAAGATAGAGAATGTACTTCAGTCCAAATTATGGTGACACCTTGATTTGAAACAAAAACAAAAAACTATTCAACTTCTTACTCAAAGTAAGAGGACAGCAAATGAAGAGGATATCAATAGCACTCAGAAGAATAGCAACAATATCAAACAACCAATCTTGCATGTATTCTCTAAACCTCATGCTGCTCCTGTCCTTTACAAAACAATTCTGTTCTCTCCCTTCAACTAATGGTAGATTAATTACAGAAGGATATAGTTAAGATCTGGTAAACAATATATGAACAGATGAGAAAACCAACAAATGAAAAAAGCTTAAGTCCAAAAGAAAACCAGAAACCATCAGCATTCTGGCAAGAGTTTATAACTTCCCCATCCCTCCTCCCCCCACATAAGGAGAGCATGATACTTTTCCTTTCAAAAATCCAAATTCACTGCCACTGCATTTGCATCAGCATCCAATGGGATGACTTCATCTCCAGAAGATGTTAGTGAATCATAGAATATGATGGAAGTAGCCAGAGGTCTATCAACGTGCAGGGCCACTCCAAGTTGCCACTCATGGTGACAGGTATGATCATCTTTTGTTAGTCCAGCACATGCAAGCATTCTGAGAGCAACAAACCAAAGATATCTTAACAACACAACAAAACCAAGAATGGAGGAAGAAGAGTTGAGCTTGAGGCAGCAGGCAAGATGACAGATGAAAAGGGAAGCAGTTCAGGCAGACACAGTCAGCTATTGATGGGGCTATTGATGGGACATCCATTACCTCTCCTCAGGTTTTGGGGGATCCGAGGACTTGGCCACTTTAGTCTCCTCTCCATTTTTCTTCTCAATTCCTTCCTCTTTCTTTTCTTCTTCCTTTGACTTCCCAGCTCCATCCTCTTTCTTTTCTTCTTCCTTTGACTTCCCAGCTCCATCCTCTTTCTTTTCTTCTCCCTTGTCTTTCTCTTTCTCTCCTTCCTCTTCCTTTTTCTCTTCAGCCTTCTTCGTGTCCTTTCCACTCTCTTTCCCATCTTCATCACCCTTCCCTTCCTCACTTCTATTATATGATATCCATGTCTAATCAAGCTCAACTCAATGACTTTACCTTCTGACTCATTAGTCAGGATGACCTACTTTTATCTAACGACTTCAGACTAATGTTTAAAGATGAGTGCTGCTAAAGAGCAAAGGTATAAAGTACAGGTATGTATGAGAAATATGAGCATGAGACAGGGACATGACTGGAATTTTGTAAAAAAAAAAAAAAAAAAAAAACCAGCAAGACAAGGATGGTAAAACAAAAAAAGAAAAAAAAAAAAAAAAAAAATTTAAAAAAAAAAAAAAAAAAAAAAAAAAACCAGCAAGACAAGTATGTTAGATCAGCCTTGTGACACATTCAAGACTCTAGAAAAAGGGTTTCAAATGAGACAAAAGAGCAAGGGAACACCAAGCGCCACATCCCAAAAGTACAAAGAAATCTGAAGGAGATTATTGCCATGAAGCATCAGTGTCAGACAATCAGTAATGTGGTTAGGTTTCTTGAAGCACTGTGAGACTGATTAGTAAGCAGGATTCCTACTCTCTTCTCCAAGTTAGGGCTCATGGTTCAATATATATCACCCTATATGGGGCCAAAACACTTTGGGATTCTGGTTTGCCTGATAATTACTTTGAAGTAGATATGGTGATAGAGGGGGTAAGATGGAAAGCTTGTTCAACTTGGCAATCAGGAGCAGTGCTTCTCTGGGGAAGCACTAGGGTGTCACATTTCAATTTCATTAATTGGGGGGTGGTAACCACTAATGTGCTTAGACTTTTAAAATATCCCAAGCCTTTCAAGAATTGTAATACATATTTAAATAATGCCTGAAAAAAATCACTCCCATAACTTGGATATTACATGAATTGGTGCTGCAAAATTAAAAGCTTGAAGCTACTAAGCCTCAGTCAATTTTCTAGAAGAGAGCACATGATTGGCATGGTTATGCTTCTTTTCTCACATTTTTCAGCCATTAGATTAAAGCAATAACTTTAAAGAGAATTTTACTGAGATAATGTAAAGATTTTTTTAAGTGGAATTATTAGACCTGCAACAAGTTTTTCTTTTTTTTTTTTTAGCTAAGGGCTCATAGATGAGGTTATATTCAATTTTGCAACGAAGAAGTCAGACCTTTGACAAACAAATGGAAGGTTTGAGTTTCGTGATATGGCATATCCCAGCATGTGGATCACATGGAAAGGCAGGAAATTTACTGGTACTCCATGCTTCTTGTAGAATGAGATAGAGATGCCTTTATAATTCATCAAGATGTTAAGAAAAGTAAATGGGTATACACAATGGTGAGACCCACCCCTGCTTCTGTGGAGAGGCATGAGCCTTATTTGGAGAGACAGGAGGCCGTTGGGAACGTCCTTTCCTCAAGCGACGGAAGGATTCCCGCAGGGACTTCTTGAATGATTTCCTTCGGGACATGGGATGCTCCCCAGCTCCAGCTATATCTGCCATCACACACAAAAGCTGACTGTCAAAATAACAGCAAAGCAATAAAAGCATCTATTGGTGGAGGGAACTCACCATTAGGATTAAGGGTGCAACGGAGCATGACAACCTTCTTCTGGACAAAATCGAAGAGTCCAAATCCATGAGCAGTGCCAACAGCAACAAGGCCCCACTTGGCATTGGCAGCCAGGGAAGTGACAGCTGCAGGAGGGCTGATCTGGAGAATCATTGATGGCTGGAATCCAGGAACCAAGTTCTGCTTTCCGGGTACAAGACCCAGCTCACTGTGGCCTTTCCAAGCAAATCCATCACAATCAGACACCAAGTTCATGGGAATTGCCTGAAAACAAGGACAGTGATGACATCCATGATCATCTTTCATCAACCTCCAAACAGGAAGTGTGATTTATGGGTCATACTGCACCTCCAACTCCTTCTCAGTTTCTTCATCATTGAGATTGAGGACAATAACCTGACCAGCAGTGCCAGCCACAACCAATATGCCACGAAAGGGACACATCCAGATCTTCTTCACAGCCAGTCTGGGGTCATCAGAGAAGGGATCAAAGCTTCCTACCTGCCAAAGCACAAGAAAAATATGATGAATGCAACCAAATGAAACTGGTGTGTTCAAAGATGCTGAACTAATGACACAGTTGCTCTCCTAGGGAGCATTTATTTATGGCAGAATTTCATGCCAAACTTTCTGACTGTCAGTATTCATATTTATTTTTTCAGCAATATACATGTAAAATTCCACTTAAACTTGTGGAGTTCATATGCTTAATGAAAAACTAAGTGCTCCATTTTACATTTCTCCACATTGTGGGCAACAAAAAAATAAGACACCATTCAGTTTATTCTAGATTGAACTTTTCCCATGTTTTATGTGTAAGTTGTTCATAGATAGTATATATTAATACCCATAACAATTGTTTTTAATCTTTCTAGCTCACTAAATCACCCATAAAAACACTGATGGATGACAAGTTCAGCATGCCCACAATCCCAATGTAGGCACAACTTCATCTATTAGATGATGTCATTGACCATACAACTACAGATATTCAACACAATTCTGAAATTTTCATGCATATGGACTGAATAATGCCTGCCAGAAATGTCCATTGTAAGCAATGACAGTACTACCTGTGGTCCAGAACTTTAAAACTAACTGCAGAAAGGTTTTCTTTACAGGAGGATTTCTTAACCCTTTGTTGAAGTGTCCATATTTGTGGATGAAATTTTACACCAACATTTTACATGACACAAACAAAACATTTTACAGCCCCAATTCTACACAACCTTTACAAGGACATCATTCCCATATTTGTGGACATATCAACTATCAGAATAAAATCAGACATGGTGCTAACTTTTTCAAAGAAAAAATTCAGAATCTAGTACATGCATATTCTAGTCTAATTAATTTCATAGGTGGAAGAAGAAATAATAAGGGTTCCCACAAAAAAAAATAATTTTCCCAAACAAATGCATTTACAAAGTGCACTTTTTCATGCAAGACCTCAACCTTCCAGGTACTACCATCAAATATCTTCACTTCCTTCTCATATGACTGTCGAAAAAAATTTCTATAACCCTGCCTTTCTCCTGACTTGAAAGTCATTGAAGTACTTTTCTGAATTCTTCCCAACATTCTGCTTATATTTTCTTGCCTTTTTCAGGTTTTCCAGATCAGTGAGAATCTTGATAAGGGCTAAGCTAGTCCCATCCAACAGCTTTACCTACCCATGAGATAAGAATATGGGTTCATCATGACTATATCATTTGGTTTCTTACAATTACTGGCAGGGCTGGGCAATAAAACAAAAATTAAATGTTGATAATGTTGATAGCAAATTAAATTGGATTTATTTTCTGAAGAATGATGGCTAGATCATTCCAGGCGCAAATGCTGATACGAGAGTAAAAAGGACTGAATGGTAGCAGAAACAAGGAGGGTGTCTCCCCTTTGATTACCACTAGAAGTACCAAGGAAATCATTTTGACTGCTTGCTGATTTTTAATGCACTTCTACTCTGCTCATTTGGCAACTAAGGGCCTCTGCAGTTTTTATTTTCCTATCTAATATCAACATTTTGAACATTTCAACATGTTGAACATGCCAAATAACATCTGGAAAAAGCAAATAAAATGTTACAGAATAATAGTATTATACTACTTTAATTGACCGCTCTGGTCTTCTAGTGCTAAAGAAAATTATAGAGCATCTTGGTCATCCCCACAAAAAAAAACTGCAGAAAGACTTTTTCCTTAGACTTTGGTCCAATAGGAGCTTCTTAAAACTTCATGAGGAATCTGCAGGGTGGTGCAAAAGTCTCTATACATTTTTTGGCATTTGTTTGCATCATCACTTGTACTTATTTTGCCATCCAATTCTTATCTGTTTCAGTGACCACAACAACTTACAGAGTCAAATCATAACAAATGTCATCCACCAAGTCAGTGGGCATGAGGAGTTTCTGCTTTGTCATTAAGAATCATGTGAGGAAAGTGTAGCAAGTCAAAAATGCACAGACTTTTGTGCCACCCTATATACACATAATCTTTCTGGTCAAGAGCAACAGGGAATAATTGCCTCCTGTTTGCCATCTTACCAGAAGGCAAAGATACAAAAAGAAATGGAACTAATAACATAGTATCTACTGAATTGGCACAGAAGCATAACTAAAAACTAGAACAATTTTTTGAACCAGTCTTGGTTAAGAGTAGGTCAGTTTGCAATAGGTAAACCCATGCTCCTTTTAATCCACATCAACATCCAAGCTCTTCAATTTGGAACCCATCATTTCACAATCAGCCAATCATTCCATCTGCACTGCAAGTGATACACCCCTTTCAATTCTATTCACATATGGCTTAGGTGTGCATAAAATAAGTACTGAACAGTACGCTCAGAGGTATCCCACGCATTACAATGATTCCCAATGGCTAGGCAAAGGAGAAAGACATCATTATCACCTCAGTATAGACAAACACAATAAAGTCCACTCATAAAAAGTACAGCATATCATCCATGGGAAATTATCCAGCTGCAGATCACACAGAATTTAAGCTGATGGGATATTTAAAAATCCTGCTAACTTCAATATATTGTATACTCTGATAACTTTAACCCTCTCTTGCAATAAGGCCAATTGGCATCAGAACAAAAACTTTAGAACATGAATTGAGAAAAATTAATTTGAGTGCATATTTTGCCAAATGATACCTAACGGCACCAAACTTGTGGCTTCCACCTTAAAGAATTCATCATGAAATACTTTTTACAATTTTTCAAACTAAATCAGTCAACCAGATGTTTTTCAGCCACATTTTTATAATTCATGCAATAAAGGGCTAACAAGAATTCAACCTCAACATGTCCTGTTATGTGACCAAAAACCAGGCCATGTCTGTCTGGATTTGGGGAGCGAAACACTAACCTTGCGAAAGGAGAGCCATTCATCTTGATCTTCATTGGGAGGGTGTTCCCCATGATCACCAGTGAAGAAAGGTGATGTTGTGAGAGTGTAAATGGGGCGCAGGGCAACTCCACCAGCTGCCCAGAATCTCACACTTCCATCTTCATGACCGGTCAACAACAAGGCCTGGGGCTCTTGCTCATCTGGGTTGCGAAGTCTACCTCCATTCACTGGCCAAGGCTATGAAAATGCCAAAGCTAAGTTACAATTCTTCCATCCACAAGATATGGAAAGTATTAAAAAAAAAAAGGAGCACTCAAAATCAAGATCCATTGCAAGTCACAGGACAACCCAAATACTCACTACCCCTTTCATTACCTCCATTCTATTTTCTAATCAGAGATGACTAAGGCAATATCATGATGAAATTTTGACCAGTGTGCTCATTACCAGAAATTGTGGAAAAAAATTGTTACCAAAATCAATATGTTGAAGAGATCATTTCATAAATATATTTCAAAAGGTCCAGGCCTCTGGCTTTGTCTTCCATTAAGTCTAAGCCAATCCTTTGGCACCCTGTGTACATAATTGAACTTCTCATGAAATGGATATTTAATTCAAACTGAGCACAAGCAAGGCTCTAGGTCAATTACTTCCAAAATCATGCAACAGGGGCCCCAAGACCAAGCCTAAGATGATAGACCTAGGCCTGCCTTTGATGTTAAGCTTAGGTCTAAGCTTACCCTATCATTCTTTCAAAATAAAAAGTACTGCTGGCTTGACAGAGCTAAGTATGCTAAATTAATCATGCTACCAAAAGCTGAATCTGAACATCACACAGAAGAGGGAGGAAAAGTTATGGACAACAGACTCAGTGAAGGGATTAACAACAAAGAACCTCAACCAATGCCACTGGTGGTGTCTTGCGATTTATACACTCATGCAGTTGACTATCATAGGCCCAATTGCAAAAGCAACTAACTTAAATAGTTCAGTCAGGGGTCAAGTTCTATTTGTGATCAAAAGCTCCTTACTCCCTAAAAGAGTAGATTGAATGACTGTCAGGTCTCTCCATAATGGTGTATGTCAACTAAGATAAGCAGAAGTATGAGTTTACATGACACTAGATTTTCACACTGTGAAACTCCACTAACCTCAACAACAGCAAAAAAATAAACTTTTGTAAGAAATTCCTTCCTGAAGAAGTAAGAAATTACTACCCTGTGACAACAAGCATGGTCTCTCTAACCCTTACCACTCAGTTTTTCTGCAACACTATGACGAATGGCAAACCTAACTCAACAAAGGAGTGAAAAGGGTTAAAAAGAAGTCACTTCCATATGCAAGGAGATTGGCAGATGGAATGAGGAGTGCCTTTTATCACTTTCAAAAATCAGTTCCCTGTATTTCCATGCATCCTCAAATCACTCCCTCTTCTCTGAATTTCTTGACAGTTTGTTCCAAACATGCAGGGAGAAATGCCTCATTTGGTTGCCCCCAAACTGAACCCTTTATTTCTCCCACAAGAGGAAAAAGTTCCCCTCAATGAAAATGATTGAATTCTGGTCCTACACAGTCTTAGCTAGCTAGGATTTTCCCAAGGCAAGGCAACCCTAGCAGTGATGCCCAATCCAAGACAGAACTGGATGCCTAATTTACCAGTTGCCATGATGACACTAGGAGATCTTGATCCTACCAGATAGGCACTGCTTTCTGTTGCTTTGTAACTCTGTAAAAGTTGACTGACAAACTTATTTTTTTATATCAAAAGCTCATAGAAGATTAAATGTCCTGCAATTTCCATCTACCTAATTTTAATGCTGGACTATCCAGCAAAGACTTTCCTTTATCTATGGTAAAGTACTGTAGTTTCAAAGTTTCCCAAACAGGTGCTTGTTTGCTCTGAATGAACTTTGAGAACTAATATAAGTATAAGTTCTTATGTTTTAATATACAGTTGGTCTGTTAGATTAATTAGATTAGATTAAGCCAACCCCTACAGTACCTTATAGAACATTTTAAGTGAATTTTCCATACTTATTTTCCCTGGAGCAACTCAGCTTTATCTATCAAACTGTAGATGTGTTTAAATTTGATGGCCATTATGATTAGCACAACCCACTCAAATTTGCATCAATGTCAATAAATGTGATGACAGCATGCATAGCCATTATGACAATTTTTCACAAAAATTACAGCTTGTCCTATTTTTCTAGAGGGTAGTGTATGACATCACATTGGAAAGCAAAAAACTAGCAGCAGAAAGACCAGCTGAGAATCTCATTAAAAGCGTCCACGTCAGCCACTCTGGGTTCAAGCTTAGACAGCAGAATATGAATATGGGAATTGGAATGTTTTGGGTCATATTGAAATTCCACTTAAATACACATTGTAAGGCACATGTGTGTCCATCCTAATAAAGAAATGGAATGGAGCCTGTATATCACATTTATGGAAGCTCTAGCACTGTTTGCTTGCAAGGCATTACATAACTACCCTCTGTCAAAGTGACTCAATGTGTGGGAAGCTCACTGCTGCCTTCTGAAGTGAAAGGGGAACAGGGGAGTTTTTTGCTGCATAGGAGGAAGTGCTTTGCTACATATAATGACTTTTTTTTTGGCAGCATGCACTTGTTAGTGGAATATCTCTAAACATGTCAAGTATCCATATGGCTTTCAGTGACCACTCATAATACTGCAGGCTATCTAATTGTAGGGGTACCTAAAGGCATTGAGTGCAGTACTAGAGTAGAAAATTCAATGCCAAAAGGCAGACTCCCTAGTTAAGGAGTTAATCCCTTCCCCCAAATGCAGAACACTACCTTCACCCAACACCCCACTACCTTGTCTTGATACTTCAAGCCCCTGACCCATTTGAAAACCCTAGATGCATCACTGGGTGAGGAGATATGACCTGGAATATGATGAGAGTTGTGCTATATTCATATTCCAGGTCCCTCCTCATATCCTCATGGTCAACTAGAACATGGCTCATTTTAAAGTTATTTTTCCCATATCCTACATGTAAGGAATAAATGCTCAACTAATTCATAAGATATGGGAATCATGCCTTTTCTGAGAGATTCGCCACAAGTCCTTGTGCTTCCCCAGCTGAAAGGATCTTCTGCCAGATCTCATCAGGGATGTCACCCACATAGTGAGCACAGGTGACAGAGGAGGAATGGAGAGCAGCCAGGTAGGGGAGATGGAATGTGGGCCACCCTTCAGTTGTCATGTCCACAGCAACAAGTTCTTCCTCAGCCAACACCAGCAAAGCCATTGGATTGTCATATTCTGTCCAATATCCAATCAATCCAGATATATTGCTTCATCATTCCCTGACACCCAAAGAACAGGACTGTGCTGCTCTTTAAAGACTCCAGGAAACTATACCTTGAGCTGCTTCATCAGATTCTTCAGGATGGATTGTTAAGAAATCCACAACAGGTGAGGTGAAATCTAGTACCACATTTTTGGATCCCTGGTTGATAGTGACAGCACACTTATCTCCATAGCAAGCTCTTGGCATTCCTCCACTGAAGATCAGGAAATCTCCCCTGAAGCAAACAGTCCAATGCAGTCAATTTGGAGAGAACAGATAAAATGGTTCATGGGTTTCACTTCATATTCTTTAAATAAAAAAAGAGGAGCTTTAAAAGATGAACATGACTGCATTTCTTTCGGAGCACAGGTAAGCATGAATCAGCCATCTAATCCCAGCTGAGTCATAGGTAATAAGGGACATAAAGAGAGACTCACTCTGGAGCAGAGTTCACAATGAGCTTCCGAATGGCCTTGCAAGGAAAAGGGCCATAGGGAGTGATGCTTTGATCTGCCTTGCTTGCTTCCTCCACCAACCAGATCATATATGAACCATCATTGTGAGAAGACACAAATTTCTTGCCTGATCGGTGCCAGCTGACACTTTCCAGTCCTTGGTTATTTATATAAGTCTATAATTAAAAAAATTAAATAAAAATTAATTTTGCATTTCCTTCATTCCTCATCAACAACAAAGTCCTGGCTAGCAGAGTTTCCAAAATATTTTATTATCATGCTTTTCCATGCCTGTTTTTGAGATAATTTGTTAGAAATTGATACTTCCATATATTTCCACCATCTTTCCCATGGAATCTGCCATGTCCTCCACCTCAATCATAATGATAATGTAATTTTTCCCATTTCTCTGGCTTAGGACTCCATTGATATTTCCCTGACTTTCCTTTCTTTCCAGACCAGTGGGATGAATGCCATAAGCTTACCTTCTCTGCATTCTGGTTCTTTTTGTCCCAGAGAACCAAGAGACCCTTGTTATATCCAATGAGGATCTTGTCCAGATCAGTGGGGTGCTCTGATATTGTCTCCACTGCACCTGGGTTCACCTTGTAATCATCTGGGACACTGAGAATCAAGAAAAGTGCCAGACACATCTTGACAGATTGCATATCAATTCTCTGGAGTGAAATGGGTCTCACTTTTGCATGACAACATCTTGGTAAATGATCTTCTCTGTCATCTCGAAAGACTTGATATCCAAGAGGTAAATGTTGCCTCCCTCAGTGCCAATGAGGAGGTGCTCTTGGGATTTCTCCATGCAGCAGGTGGAGATCTTCTTCAGCTTTCCTTCCAGAGCCTGGGATTTCACCTCTTCCAACACCCACTGCCCTTGACCTGGCTCCTCTCCCTCTCCAAGTTTCTCATTTGCCTCCCACAGGTGCAATGAGTTGTCTTCACATAGAGCAATCAGCCGACCCTAAACAAACAATGCACTTTCATCCACTCTAATGACTTTAAATGTCAACTTTGTGAAGATCTTCAAATGGAAAAGAAATAAGCAGACAAGAAACACACTTCATTTATCTTTTGACAAGACAAAAGGAAAGAGGAATTTAAAAGGTGAACAACTATTGGCTGTCAAATGTGGATGACAAGAAATGGAACAAACTATACCAGCGAGTGAAAGGGATAAAAGGAAACGGCTAAATAAAGAAAAAACAAATAAATTTTAACAAGCAGGTAAAAGAAAAAAGGAAGCATGTAAATTAAAACGTGAAAGCTTCATAAGTCTCACAGAAAAAGGTTTTTTTTCCCTTGTCTTCTCCATGGACCCCCTTTCTCTCCCCATCCTCTGCGCCTTATTTCAAATTACTTATGTTTACATTCCTAATCAGATGGTTGCCGTTTAAGGGGAGGGAGAGATTTTCACAGACAATTCTTTCAATGATTCGGCAATGAAATTGGGCGGATGGATCCACATATCATGTCGACTTCTCTGAGGGTGGTTAACCCCCTCCCCCCCCTTAAAGCGCCCTCTCCCCCACGCCTCCACCCATGATTACCCAAGTGAAACTCCCCATATCTTTTCCCTCTCGTTTTCATTCACCTCACTCGATTTCCGCAAGGAAACACGGCGTTTGAGAGTCACCCCGGATTTCGATGAAAGAGGTGGAGCGAAGAAACAAAGAAAGGGACATGAGTTGATGGGCAATTACAGAGGTGCGAGGGAACGCGTTCCAATAAACAGGGGGCTTGCATGACAGTGCAGGTTCCATCTTATCCATACACTCCCTCTGTTGTATCCCTCGTGAGAGAGGAAGAAAAGAGATCGAGGGAGAAAGAAAGGACATTGAAAGCGGGAAAAGGGAAAAAATCGCAGGCCTTTTCTTCTATTTAGTGAAGGGCCTTACCAACTTGAAGCACACATTTTTCCCCTTCTCTGTTTCGACCTTGAGAAGGGACAATGACGCCCACGCCAAGTGGACATGAATAGGCAGAAAACAACCTGCCTCTGTAGTCTAGTCCAAGATGAACTTGAAAAAGAGGAAGGGCATGGAATGGTGACAGGTATTCCAAGAGGAAGTCAGGAGTCACGATGCTTCCTCTTTGCACGAAAGTGAGATTCCCACTCCCATTCCCCTCCCTCCATCCAATGAGAGAAAAATCTTGGGATTTTCTCGGCCCGGGGAGACCCCGCCAGTCAATGTAGCCGTGAAATAAAATGAATGATAGTATTGTCTATGAATCCTACATGCCTATCACACACCTACGCACACTCACGCACCTATCTCATCTTCGCATCTTTGCCCCACGCAATAAGATAAGGATTTCTATTTTCTCTTTCTCGTCTATTCCACACGAGCAGACAGACGGAGGAGACAATAGTTGACATTTTCCAGTCGGTCAATATTTGCCCTATCAAGCAAATACCGTCTGTGAATGACCGCCTTCAATGCAGACGTATTTCTCTTCACTTTCCCTTGCGAAGGATGCCGACGAATGAAAATTTTCGTAACCGCTCAACTTGTGAAATTCGCCTTGATTGAGTTTACATTTTTTCCCTCCTCCAGATAGCAGAAACCATGTGAGAACATGCGGGAGACAGACTAAAGAATAGCTAAGAGCACTAGAATACTTCGGGACTTCCACAGCTGCGTCTCTTCGGCTCCTAACATATGACGCCATGGTACATGGCATTTACAGCACTTGGGAACGATTAAAGCGGAAGAGAAAGAAATAAAGCGGATGAGAAGAGGTCGACAGCCTGCAATGCGATCAGGGTCTCGGGAGAAGACGCGTGAGAGGAGGAAGAGACCTCTCGCCCATGCCCTTTCACCCCGGTTCCGTTCCATTCATGTGAGATGCGCAAGTGCTGTAAGCAAGGCAGTCGAGGACATTTCAAAATGCGCAAGAAGGAAAAACGTGTCTCGAGTCGGTTCGATAGCCGGTGGTCGAACAGAGTGAGAAGCGTTTCAGGGGTATGGACGATGACAAAGGAAGCCCTCGTTCTATGGATTCTAATATCGTGGTCGTTGACTCTCCTCCAGGCACCCAAAACCCCTTCCCCTTCCATTCTGCATCACACCACTCTCCATCAGCTTCCATATACTGTGTAGGCACAAGAGACCATACCTCACCACCACACGTGTGACGTCTCTTCGCGACCACCATACAAATATGGACATATTTCCACATATGTGCAGTAATAATGGAAAACAAAAGGGTCTCTTCGGAAAGGTTCAAAACCACAACTAAATCCGAGTCCAGTCGTGGAAAACAATGGAACGCCGTTTCATTCCTGCCTATCCCCATTGGGAAAGAAATCCTCGTATCCAGTCGAGGAAAGCAACAAGAGGTCCTGATGGATAATGGCATTCAGGGGAAGGCATCAACCTGGAAATCTTTTTTTTTTTTTTTTTTTACAAGGGGGGGGGTTTCGTAGACCGTTATTTGACCTCGTCCTCTCCCCTCCTGTGTGTGCTCGCGCGAAAGCGTGATCTGTCACTTGCGTCCCGGATCAAAGTAACCGCACACAATATGGGAAACAGGAAAGGAAATACCAAATTCTAGGTATCTGGAATGCTTGAATGCGGCTGTCTTCGTCTTTCATTCCCGGTTTTTATATTCCATTCAGGTGCAAGTGTGATTTTTGTCAAAGTGCCAAGGACAGAGATCAATGAAGTCCACATCTGTTGCCATTCCTCCCTTCTCTCAGCCGACACATGTGCCCTTTCCCTCCTACCTTCCCAATCCCCTCAACTGCAACTTGGCCCAACCCCTACCTTCCTTTTCATAATTTTTTTCTCTCTATGGGGGGATAAGTTACTCCTGGAGACAGCTTGGATATACAGCGTAGCATGCAGCAGTCGAAGTTTGATGCAAGCCAAACCATTCAGGAAAGATAACAAAGCGTCTACAGGCGCGAAAGTAGAGGAGAAAGAGAAAGAGAGGGAGAGAAAAGATGGATGACGTTAAAGATGTTCTTACCTGATTGGAAAGGAAGAAGATCTTGGTGACAGGACTCTCACTTCCATGTTGGCCATACAATTCCACGCCAGGCTTCCCATAGCTGTTTTTTTTTTGCCATCCATATCGTTAAGGAAGGGACAAGACACCGGATTGAGGAGCAAGAGCGATCCCCCAACAATGCCCCTATATGGTTCCGAAACCATTTCAAGTTTTCTCTTTTCTTTACCAAGAGAATATCCATTTTTGTTGGATCGTATAGTCGATCCAAGGTACACGTCCAGTATTTGTACAGCTTGAGACAGGCGCTTTTCCCAGTGTCAGACTAGGGAATGAAGAAAAATAAAAACTGGGCATGTGTCCGTGTTTACCCACGTGCGAAAAGAGGGGGGGGAAGGAAAATCGTTTCTCCTCCCTATCCGGAAAAAGCAAGCCGACAGCTATTCCAGTTCGCGGTGGAAAATCACGAAGAGAAAAGGGAGAATTTTGTGATTAGTCATCGTGAACAGAATTCATTATGGCACACCCTCCCATGACTCAGAGAACGAGACAATTACAGTCCTACGAATCAGCTTCGTCATCGGGTCATCCCTGAGCGCAGCAAAAAAGAAAATTGAATTTAAAGAAAGAAACAGAAAATGCCTGTTCTTATTGCCCCGAGCAGTTCCGAGTCAGCAGAGGTCAAAGTGATTCAAACGATAGAGGCGTGAGACTCATACTCGAGTCACTGACCTCGAATTGGTCTCTGAAACCGACGCTAATGGATATGAATGACACTAATGAATCATTAACTGGTTTTAGAAATCAGTGCTCATTCAGATGCCAACTGGTTCGACTGGAATCCTGTTATTTTCTCTGCAGGAAGACGAAGCAATGGAAATCCGGAAAATAAGGTGAATAACTTACATTGGGGGAAGAGTCGGGGTCAAAATGGAGGGGTTAGATTCATTACATTGATATTGAGAAACGGGTAAGAGATTGTTTTCTGGGGCCATCCAATCATTTTGGTGATAGGAAAGATGATATAACCATGGAGGCAAGCAAATGGGATCTCTGGAATCCCCAGATGGAGTTATGCAGGGCAAATAAGCCACCAATTATCTGAATAACCCTGCCTGAGAGCCACAACAGAACCCACACTTTCTACTTGACAGGGAATTTTTTAGAACGCGGAAACCACCAGAAAAGACCTTACAGTAATAAAATATTACATTATTATGTGACATGCATCGGACCCGTTTAACCTTAAATTGAACTGATTTAGTAACGGGCGTCGAGGGATACAACACATGGCCACATTATAAAAAGAGAATAGTGGAAGGTAAGCTAATATGGGGTATGTCACACTCGCACCCAGCGGTCGCGGAGACCTGGCTTTGATTGGTGGTTTCACTCCTCTGAGGCCCTCAAATCGAACAAAATAATTTCTGGGCATTTAAAAAATAACCGGTTTCTTCCATTGAACAGTTGCGTCATGAAAGCCATCCGCGCCCTACACGGGAATCAATTACATACACGACGTGCCTAATCTCCTTTTTTCCTTTCCATGATTCTCATGATAAGGGCTCTCTACGCGAGAACTTTAATGCGATTAACTAACTCATTCATCCCTTCCCCTTCCAATTCCACCTCATTAGGAAAGGCTCGTGTCACGGAATGAGTTGTATGACATGCATATCTTCCTTGGCAACGTGGATTTCCTCGGTACAATACCCTGTGCCAACTTCACACCGATCCGTCAACATTTAATTGAACGAAAGAGAATAAAAAACTGTGTGGGAGGCGGAAACACAAAAACGGATGAATCCAACAGCTAAGAAAAAGGGGGAAAGGGAGGGGGGGAATAGTGAGGACCCCCTTCGAGGCTATCTGCCCTCATCCTGCCCCCCTTTTCTTCAATGGATCTGGGATTTACGACTTCCACCAAAATCCCTGCACATTCCTTCCCATACCCCCCAAGAACCCCACTTTTCATCGGTAATCCCCCAAAGGACAGGAGGATCCAGAGATTTATGCCAATTGGGAATTCCTCCTTCGATGGACCCACAAATGGCATATCATCTCTCGTCCCTCACATCGAAACGGGATGGTGACGCGAGAATACCAGATTCTTCCCTCCAGGCATGGACAAGCTCCTCACTTTCTTCTTCACACCTCTTCATATGGAAATGAGGAACCATGTAATACTTTGCATGGTAGGGGGTCTTTTTCTTTCCCCTTATGGCATATCAAGGCATTCATGGTCATGCCTCTATGCGACCACCCGGTCTACTTTGTATTTAAAAAATAGTTCCCAGACGGTTTCGAACTTCCTTTCTTTTTAGTTCGCGATAGGGTCATGTTAAGGCGAGTTTCAACGCCTTGGCAAAGAGAGAGGAAAATAAGGGAAAAGGGAGACTGAAAAATCAAACTGAAGACATTCATAGACGAAGCAATATAAGCGTAGGGGGGATTTATTCGTCACCCACGGATTTTCAATTCCGTTTCTTTTTTCCATACTCTCTTGAGATGTCCAGGTCAAAAACCTTTCCGAGGCGAATGTGGAACCGAAACTGGAACACTTCCAAGTCCTCGAAGTTGATACAACAATCCCGTTGTCCCATTGACGGGGTGCACAAAGGATAGCGCTCACGATTGGATAACTGAACCGTCAAAATGAACGGGATCAACACGAAAATGGTATAATAAAAATGTATACAAACAGCTGAATGGGCAGTAGACACGCTTTGCTCTACATTCTGCACCTTGAGTATATATTTCGTAGGGTACTCGACTCTACCATAACAGTTATGTCTTTCGGCTATTTGTATTATGGTAGAAAACCTCAGGCTTCCCCTGTCTCGAACGAAAACAGCACGAGAAAAAGATTAATCCATAAATCAATGAAGACAAACGAAACGGTGAATCGAGAGTGAAAGGCAAATGGATCGATTTTGTAGAACGTGGAAATTATCTCGGGTTGGACTTCATATATGCTTTTAAAAGTATTTTTTCGCTTAGCATGCATCACGTAATCACATTATGTGATGCTGATTTGTCTGTCATCTGGGCATATCTGAATAATGAAAAAAAAACAACAGATTACTCAAGTGCCATCATGCTTCAATTTGCGCAAACATACGGCAGAAATTTCAAGTAGACAAAACAAAAAAAGGTCATGTATTCACTCTCCCATCACCACCATATTCGCTGCATGACACATCCATTGACTGAGTCATGCAAGAGACATGGGCAAGAACCAGGGAACCGACTCGAGGCTCGTTCAGTGTCCTTCGCCGAAGGCACGGCGCAACGACCTCGTTCACATTGGACACGCAAGCCTCTTGCGGAGATAAACAAGGGAAGCAGACGGCGAACTTCCAGGATGACCAATGAACAAGAAACAAAAGGACATAGTTTCACTCAAGTCACGTCTATAAGTAAAGGCTTCGCCTATGAACACGTAAACGGGTTACCTTTAAAGACTTTATGGAAATAATCTCCTATTAATACAAAATCAATTTGAATGTAACTTCGACACAGCTTGAGCCGCACTTCAGAGATGCATCAGCGATCGCCACAACAACAGCATTTCCAGTGGCTTTTCGAGCATCACCCCCCCCCCCCCCCCCCCCCCCCCCGCCCACCATTCCAGGGGCTTTTCGAGCATCCCCCCCCCCCCCCCCCCAATAATTATCAGAAAGAAATGTCCAGAAGAACCAGACTTTTCCGTTAAGAGCAGCTACTTCGGTAGTCATTTTCATTGTTTCCTACGGGCTCGCTCAGATTGGCCTGCGCCGTTTCTTCGCATGACTTGAACCGCTGGAAATTCTTCTCTGAGTAAGAGACAAAGGACTGGAAAGTAGGTATATAAACGTCAGGTTTTTTAGACAGGGCCAGAGGAGAACAACGAGTAAATAAACGATGTGCTTCGTTCTCAAATGCCAGGTCGACGAGCACGACCGAGCAAAAGAAGAAAATTACCCCCAAGTGTCTATTTTGTTGAGAGATCGTGCAGAAAGAAGGCATCTCGCCACTGAACTCAACTTCCATGCAAAAAAAAAAAACATGAGAAGGTGAGAATCTATGAAGTGGAACCAGGAGAGGGATGGGAGGAAGAGAAAAAATTATCAATCCGTGCCATGACTTTTTGAATCATTCTGCGCGTGCAAATCACGCCTATTAAACGCCATTACCATGACCGTCCATAAACGGTCAAGAACCTCTCTTAACAGGGACAGGGAAGGAAAAAAAGCACCACCCTGGTAAGATATTCCAAACGACAGAAAAATAATCCCCATTTCAAAACTATGGCTTTACTAAAATCCAAAAGGACCCCCACATGGACACAGTAAACTCTGATAGCATCATAGAGCAGATATTCCGCATTCCGTTCGAAAGATACCAAAGAGGGCAAATACATTCCTTGCCTGCCAAAACGGACAGGTGTTTGTTGCATCAGACAAGACGGGGTAATACTACTCGCAACATGCACTCCGTCGTACTATTGGAGCAAAATTCAAACAAACGGCCCCTCTTGAAGCAAAGGACGAGTGGAGAGGGAGAGACGGAAGATGGAAAATAGAAAACAGCCTTAAGGGCGGATGATGATGTCAGAGGGGAGATATCGTATCCGCCACGCCTCTGCCCTTGACCGGATATGCTCGTGTCCTTCAGTCAAGAGCCCCATCTCTCATGAGAAAGCGAAGGGAGAGCCTTCTTTTTGTCATCGAGGCTGACTGAAGACAGGGAATGAAAAGCAGGGACCAGATTCTCCCTAGAGAAACGATTCCCTGCAACTCTCGCCTGAGGCCAGGGCACTGAACTCGATATTCTCTTCCTCTCTCTATCCCTCTCTCTCTCTCCCCTTCTCCCCCCCTTCCTCCTTTGCAATAGATGCGAATATCATCAAAAGCTCCTTTCACCTCCACATAGGTGAAATCCTGTATTCAACGTCGACTTGGAACAATTATTACGCAACCCTACAGGGTTAATATATTAATTGCGAAGGCGAGTACAGAACGAAGAAGAGGGGTATGTGATACCCTACTGCATGTCAGCCTGTAGCCGGTCAGTCGGGTACCTGGTTAGTTCATTACAAAGTTGCTAGCTCGCTGCTGTGAAACATTGCCAGGGAATGGCAAAA